AAATTCATGCAACCCATTCATATGATTTGTGACCTTTACAAATGAACTTTACGTTACGCTTTTATAGGTAAGGGTGTTCTAAAATTCTTTGTTTTGGAAAATTTAATAACTGTAAATATTGATGTTTAAAGAATTTAAATGTTTAATCCAACTTTAAAAAGTTATCCCCTATATGTGTGTTCATTTATTGTCGCGATGGTAACGACACGCTGTATATATGAAAAAAATCCGTTTGCATATGTACCTGTAAATTCGAGCTGCATTATTACGAAATACAACTCCTTCTCAGTTAATATAGAGTAACCTGAAATTTTAAAAGAATAAATGCCTGGATTTGAATCAAGATTTACTAACTCACATGCAGACTTCTATCTCACTTGCCCCTAAAGACGCTAACGTTTAACGTTGACAAAGTGTTTTAAGACGGACTTGTCGTGGGATAAACCGATGCAACTAAATCATTCCGTTCTCTCGCGAAATCACATTTTACACCAGTCCCATTCCAATTAAGAATGGAGGCATAAAACATGTAACAGTTCAACGCACTCCGGGTCACATGTCTGCCGCCAGAAAACACAAAAGGATCGACGCGAAATAACAGTTTCGCAGCTAACCGCACAACAAAGCGACCGCTCTACGGCACACACGAATTGTTCAACGGAAATTCCTTCAGCGTACGTTCTATCCAAAGCTCGGCGAAAAGAAAGTGACTGGTATGCGCTAGAATAGGCTTTCTCTAGCACTTGCCTATTAAATAATATGTTATTGAGGTAACGTCACGCGCCACTTTTGGTGCTGGAAAGGGCCGCCTCGTCCGAGCAAAAAGTACCAGGGTCACATGGAAGATCGGCGGTAAGTAGATGTTATTATATTTTGCGTGAATAACATAATTCCATAGGTAACTATTATGAAAACGCCAAGTTATTAAATATTTTCTTTCTTATTAAACACATTAAATTTAGGAAAATTTAGAAACAAAACTGAATTAAATACATTCAATAATATAGTTAATTAACAAAAACGAAACGATGTACACTTTTCAGTTTCATGATGACTTCGTGGCACAGTTGCCAAGGTCTTCGGCGCCGAGGCTTGTGAGTTCTATTCCCACATGAAACAACTATTTCTGTGACCCACAAATAATTGTTTCGGATCTGGGTGTTTGTCCACGAGAAATTTATGTGTGTAAAACGTTCTTACCACACAGGATAATGTTGTCCTACAGTAAAGGGGAAATATATTGGAAGAGAAGACTATAATAGATCTACTATGTCGCACTGGTCGTTCGGGCTCACTACCCGCAATCACACTTCCGGACAAAATATAAATACATATCTTTTAGAACACTAACAGAAAATCTTACACCACTTAAAGAAACTCCAATATACCTAAAAAAAGCGTCATCCCGTCAGCAAAACAGTTAATATTTTTCGATAAACAAATTAAATATACGCACAATCGTGATTAGCGTGAAAACTTTTGGCCCAATTTAATAAGTTAACCATACTAAGTTCAAATATAGTGAACGTTTCGACAGTATATCTGGTTTAGAAGCTTTGCTAATGTCCGACCGTGGGAGCGACTTCACAGCCTATGATTATAGATGTATCAACAAACCCGTCAACTGTTGCCAATTTCGTTGAAGGAAATATACTTTCAACCGCGACAGTGACTTTCTAAGATTACCTTGCGCAATCGCCGCTTTATTGAATTTTAATGCAATCGAAAAGGAAATTAGTTGCCGGTTTTAACTCTGAATAAGTTTCGGAAATGTACCGCGTTCGCTGGCGTCACGAGAAGGCGTATCAGTGTACTGACAACCGAAAAATAAAATAACACAAAACATATGTTACCATGAGACGATAACAAGTAGCACAGAAGTTATAAGCGAAAAAAAATATTTCAATTCCGAATACCATTGTCTCCTTTGTTTACGTTTCTAAAGCAATATACATGACGGCACGGTTATCAGATAAAGCTAGCGACTTGTGTGTGTATGTATAAGTGGAATAACAAAACGTCTTATCTTAATGAGAGTATCTTTAAAGACGGCATATACTATTCTTCAATGCAAAATTTCCATTAACATTACTTTTTTCGCTTGGTAACAATGTATTCGCGAATAACTCCACGTCCACAAAAGGCGAACAAGGCGAGAGGCAATCAAAAACGCATCAAAACAATAAGAAACTCTAAATTTAGACGGTGATACGGCGAGTTTAACGCCAGCCGTCCGGCAAGGTGATACATACTGACGACTCCTATGCCCGGTTAGCATATCAACATATGTAGAAAACTAAAAGGATCTCTGCTGCTATCCGAAGGAAAGACACTGGGCGGATGTGCACGCTGCGAGAACAGATAAAATTCTCATTTCCTCCGCTGTGTCGCAAGAGACGAAACTGGCGACTGGGTCAAATATATCTCGAAACTCCTCGAAAAAGTCGAGTATTCAGGTGGGAAATAACATATAAGCAAATAATATTGAAACACTTATAATTAGATTCGTTAAAATGTCTCGTATACCTGAGCGCGACTAATGCTGCGATTCATATATTTTAATGAATATTCTATGTTGTAACATTCTATGATATCTGATTTGTGGATTTATTAAAATAAATATTTCGGGACATACATTCCACCAAGTTATATATAGACCAAAACTAAGCAAAGCCTGTACATAAGGTAACCAATAATAAATACATAATATAGACATATAAACACCCAGAAACATTTTCCAGTAGTGGGGATCGAACCAAGAACTCTGGCGCAAGAGACAGGGTCACAATCCACTACGCCGATTCCGTCAAAAAAAGGAGAAGAAAAAACATGTGATTGTTTCGAAACTGATTGTACTTTGCAACTCCATAGATGATTAATTTCAATCCGAACCAGGTGATTATGAAGCAACTTTGATATTATTCATGAACAAAAAATTTTTCATATATCCGGGTATCAATCAATTAAAGATTTTACCCGAGTAGAAGCGACGTCTAAAAATAAATCCAAACCAGAGGGTTTGATTGTGGCGACCAGTTTTCAATGACTTTTTATATAATTAGAATTCCCCCGACGGACCGCATCGTTTCCCGCGATTCCGATCACGTTTATAATATGAGTTATCTGTAACTATGTCCGGAAATAGTATAAATGTACTTAATAGAATACGGACAGACAGGAAACGCTGTTTATAGATATATTCCTAGCAGCCTTTATACAGTGACAGCAATTGCGTCTTTCTCGTTAAACCTTTATTTCAATATCAGTCAAATTAGAGATTAGGTTTTAATTCAAATATCTTCATTCAATATAGAAGTATTACACATACTTATTGATTGTCAAAAAACACTACTACCGGTTAGGAATAAAAGCCACTGACCTGAGAAGAACCGGTGAAAGAAACTCTGAGAACTCTTCTCACGAGAATAATGAGGAAAATGTATTATAAAACGCGCCATTAGGATGCCAACAGCTTAGTGATTGGAGCGTCTAACGTATGGCGCAGGTTCGAATCCTGGCAACGGCGAAAAATTTTTCATCATCTTCAAGTATAAAAATTAACATAAATAATTTCTAAGGTGTTTTTACCTGAAATTCTTTTTCGCCGAAATGGAATTTATTTAGGTAACAGCGAAGCATTGCCCGGTATACATTTATAAATAATATACATTTATAAATAAATACATTACCAAACGCGAAGACAATTGAAAATCACCAGGGACCTTGAAACTTTCTCCATTTTTACGACATGAACACAAATTTGACAATGTTTAAAACTCGTTCGACATACACGTACTACAACATGCAATATAAGAATTGCTTCATTACACTTAAAAATCAATGAAACGCTTAATTCGATAAGGTCGTGACAAATTATGGAAATGTCTAAGCTTTTTCAAAAAACTGGAGCGCTCTTTGGAAATAGTTGGAAAGGGGAGTTTGTACAATCAGTTTATTCGAAAATTCATCGCTCGTTTCCTTTAGCGCAATTGTATCGGGCCGATGAAATTTTCTTGCCGGGTAATATACACTTACTTCGCTTTATGATACCCTGTTGGACGTTTCAATTACTTTGGTTACTTTCTATTCAAATATTGATATCATATAAAATATCAAAATGTCAAATTATTAAAAAAAAATACTATAAACTCTTTTACTCTTATCCTCTACAGCTTCCGTTATTTATTAACCTGTAGATCCGTAGAAATGTTATCTATTTCAATATGTTAATCGGAGCTGCTTTGTACACAGAAGCGGTAATATTGCTTACACATTAACACATTAGTAACCCTACGAGTGTTGCACATGTCCATGGACGGCGGTTATCATTTAACATCAGGTTAATTGCCAACTTGCTTGGCATCAACTCACATAAAAAAAATTATCTTTGACTGCTAACTTAAAAACAGCCTAATGAGGGCCGTGAATATAAGTTTTTTACTTTATAATAAAACTTCATCTAGATTTATGGCTACTATGCGTGAAGCTAAGGATTAATATCCGAGACATTACACCGTTAAAGAATTCGCAACAATCATTTGAGTCGCTCTGATTAGACGATTATATATAATACAATGATAAATTACTATTCCTCTTAGTACTTTCATTCGATTAGTACGGACGATAACTTTTGAAATGTTGCGGAATACGCGTCGAAATATTATTAGCCACTCAATCAATACATGTAGTACCCACCAAACCTCGCCGCTGAATTAGTTTAGTAGTTACACGAAAATGAAAGAGGCGACAGACAGGTGAAAACAGGCGATTATGAGAACATAAGACATTTATTATATTGGCAATCGGTATACAGCAACTCGAAGGCGATTGTGAGAAATACGACATTCGAATATATCGGGGCAATCGGTGTATAGCAACTGGAAGACGTCTCCCCGCCTATTTCAAGTACCAGGGCACCAGCGTTTGAAAGGAAATATGCCCGCTGTTAGCGCAGTCAAAGGTTGAAACGGTCCACCTTTCGCGTTAATTTCTCTTATTTACAACTGACGCGCTCCGACGGCCGGCGCTGGCCAAAACGTGCGAGCGGTCGCTATCTGGATCGTTGGGTGAGGCACGGCGCTCTCCTTTCGCGGGCGTTCAACGAGCCGTGGGGCCGAGATGCGGCCACGGTCTACTGGGCCAACCTTGGCGCTCGTTCCCGCCTTATCCCGATGACATCACCGCCTATTGGGAAACCGCGCGAAACAGCGAACCCATATGGCCGGCGACGGACGGATCGCTTCCTACGGGAACATCATCCAGCTTCATATTAAAAATGGAAAGTCGCCGCTGTGGAAGGTCAGCGACCCCGCTACGGTCGGTCACAGTGGACTAAACGGTCGCAATTTTTTTTAAGCGTTCAAATATCGCACGACATCTAGGCGGCTGTATGGAATAGGCGTTAAATAAGAAATGAATCGATTTTAACGTTACGTTATAACCTAGCCGAATTAGAAATTTATCTGCGGCGCGTCGGGGCGACCGTTGGGGTTTTTTTTCGCTGCAGTGATGTACAATCATATTAAGACGATTAACACTGGACGTTAATGATCATAGACTTTCTTTTCTTCTTAGTTTTTATATACTAACATATTCTGTTCACGGATAGATTTACGCGTGCACAATTTACAATATAATATTTAATAATAGTGACATAGGTTGTAAATAATAATGATAAAACAATTTTTATTACAAAAAAAAACAAAACAGACTTCAAATATTAATTCACAGTACATTTTCTATTTGATTTAGAGGATTTTCGTGATGTATCCCCGGAGTCCAACACCAATGAATCAATATGGGGACATATGGGAGCTAAACTGAAGCCAATGCAAAACTAAAAAAAAAACTGAATTGAGAACCTCCTCCTTTTTGAAGTCGGTTAATAATTCTATCAATAGAATCAGAAGCTTGTTTTCGGACGCTTTGTCCATACAGAAAGCTGGCGGAAACTTCTTACCATACCCTTACGCCCCTCTATGTGTCGAGGTTAAAATCTTTCAACAAGGCTCTGAACAAACAAAAATAGCCTTTAGAGCCCCGGATAAACAGATAGGAATATGAGGACAACTATTATAGAGTATCGATATACAACAGCTTTACTTATCGCGCAAGTTCATGATTTTGCCAATAATAAACTAAGGTGTGTTATCACCCAAGTTACCGAGAAAATTGCAAAATATTGATATGCGACAATTGCTACTCAATACGTAATGGGTAGGCCGTGCGGCGTCATTATCAACATTCCTCGCGCATAACACATCGTTAGCGATCTACGTACAGCAATAGTACCGAGAAAATCATATCGATATCGACAGACGGCGACAGATATCGATAAAGTCGAACATCACCGAGTACGAAACTGAATGGTGAAATAAGTGAAGAGACCAATGTAATTTTCTGCTGTCTCGCGAACCCTTACCGAGACGGCGACCGACGTGGTGACCACTTGTTCGGTACCCTCGGCGCTCTGGCCGTCGGGCGCGCTCAGGAAACGGCGCAGCGTACCGTAGCCGGACGCGGATGCCACCATGGCGACCATCGTGGGCACAGCACTGCACGATTACTCGATATACGAACGACAGTGTCGCAACTGTTTCACATCACTACGCGCGGTGTGGGCGGCTGCGCGCGCGCCGTTTCGCGCCCGCGCTCTAACTGCCGATGCGAACGCTCGGCGGCCGAGTAAGTGCCCCTACCAAGACGTTAGAACAGCGTTTGACGTTAACGCACACACTCTCTCGTAGGTGGCGTGTTTCCGTAAAGTTCGCGGCTCCGTTGGCGCCAATTGAGGGGCAGTTGAAAAAGGGATCGGCGATTATCTAAGTCAGCAGACCGATAGGGGCAGATAACTTGTGTATTTTTACATATCACTGCATTTTTTGTTCACTGATAAGTCAATTCATATAATGCTTTTGTAACAAATGTAAAATTATACTATGTGTACATCCATTTTTACGTTATTTATCAATATAAAAGCAATTGCAGATCATTAAATTATATGAAAGCTACCAACTTAAAGAAGTGTTAAGAAAATATAGGTGTTGAACCACTTGAGTTAAAATCACAAGATAAATAGTATGTAATGGAACATTTAATGTAGCACTTCTTAAATTTCCAATTTATACCAACTGCAATCTTTAGGAGAGTGCAAAAAGATAACACAATCCATTGTATGTTAATGAATACTGAACAAGTGTTCACCAACTGGTCGAATATCAACCATAATAATTATTCAAATTTTTCACATTTCAAAATATTTTTATTACTATCACTTAAACTACTATCAAACTACCAATGCCTAAAACTACTTGAGAAAAATCAATTGACAAAGAAAGGAGAAAATATATGTTGCAGATTTTTTTTGGCTGGATCCAAGGCGCCTAGCCTGAACCTCAATTATGGGTGAAACTGAGCAGATTTGTCCTTGCATATTTATATATAGATAAAACCATAATATTTTAATTAAAATTCAATAACCATTTAGCAGGAATATTTTAATGAGCTAATTGAATTTTGTATACAGAGGAGTAAAAAATAATATTATTATATCCGGTAATAGTTACTATGACTAATGAGAGAGATATAGTTAATGAAATACAGCTTAATAAATAACTTTAAATTACAATTATACTACAAAGAAAAGGAGCTTATTACTACTAGTATTTTTTATTTATTAATTATTATTATTGTATTAATTAATTTTACAGTAGGTATACGGTTTTGAAGTGTGTGCAAGTAATATACACTTTGTAAGCTATTTTAAGCTATATTTTTTAAGCTATTTTAATGGACACATTTACATTAACATTTCTTAACTGCAGAGAGTAAACGACTGAGCCAACAAAATTGCAAGTTAATTTTATTAATAAGACTTAATTTTTATAAATAAGTATCAAAAACAATTTAATGTGGTACTACTTATTATAAATTTATTATATTAGGAATGTATAAAACCCATTTTAAATACTACTGTAAAAGGTGCAAGAACAAAAGGAGGCCCAGAAATATTTTACTTGACAAGTATGGCTCATAACATTGTTCTAATGCCAATAATTTATTCTGCAAGAGTGTGGGTTGCAATCTACTTCACCCACACTCCACCTTGGTTTGATTGCCAATTTAGGTGACTTCATTTTGTCAAGCTTATGTTTCAATCAATGTAATATAAAATATATGCGGTAAAAATTAGCGTAATAATAAGTTCGACAAATCGATTATTAGATATGGATAACGAAAGATTTAATATATTAAGGAAAATAATTTACATCGTCAATAAAAAAAATATCAAAACAACATGTGCGCAAGAAGATGAATTTAGGAGCAACCGGCAATTATAATCATATCGGTCTCACCTGTTTGGTGTCCACAGTATCTGTGGCCTCCATGTTGGCATAAGATCGGTCCTGCCTCTCCATAAGTTTGAAAACATCAGAAACTTTTAATCCATTTGCTGTGCCTGCCAAAAGCACATAATGCAAGCCTAAACATATCAAACGCGACGAGTTCAAAATTTTCTAACGAAACAATGTCAATGATCCGACCAAACACGTCCGACACTTGAAGTCCACTACACAAAACAGAAAAGTATAACGGTTATCAATCACAGCGTTGGACGCATATTAAATATTTTTAATCTAAATTTTAGCACCAATATTTTAATACCTAATCAAGAAATGAGAAAACACTGATCATCACCATCTTAAAATTTCACACATTCCGTCATTGAGGCCGACTGACTCTGGTCGCTGCCCTAAGTTATGCTCCGATTAACGCATAGTTTCACATATGTCAATAATTCGTTACAAGAATAATTTTAATCATATTCTTTTAAAGTATTTTACTATTTAAAATATGCAATGAAAAGTTTCATCTCTAATTTAAAATTAATGTGTAATGTAAATTTCATAAATTGAACATAAAATAAATTTTCTTCGAAATTTAGTAATACTGTTGCTTTGGAATTTTTTTGTAATTAATTTATCTACTTTAAGGTTGAAATTACTATTTGTTTGTATATTGTCGTATTAAAATTTTCGCAGATGTACATTTTTTTATTGATCAAAATAGAAATTTAATATAAAAAATATGTATACGTTACATAAGATTTTTAACGGTTTCTAATAAAGTTTCAGAGGTTTTCTCGCATATACAGTATACACATAGGTTTCTACCTGAAAGAGTGTAAAGACACTGCTAGATGGATTAAATTAGTTAATAATACCATATATACAAATGTACTCTGTGGTTAACAGAGTATCTGCTCCTGACAAATAGTGATATTATTGTTATCTGTAAAGCACTTCTTTCATTCTTTTACAGGAAAAATAGACAAAATGGTCCAGTCTAACCAAACCTTAACCCTTAGGAAAACAAACAGTCTATGTAAAAGTCATTAGACAATCGTGATTAAAGTTCCTAAGTAGCAATTAAATTAATATGCCACGAGAAAAGAGCCGTTATCGCGACAAGCGAAGTTCTTCTTGCAGTTCTGATTCGTCATACGACAGGAAAAAGCCGAAAAGCAGACATAAACGCCGTTCGCGCTCAAGGGATCGTTCGGAGTCTAGTAGCCATAGAAGAAAACGATCAACTTCAAGATCAAGGCACAAAAGAAGAAGTTATTCCCGAAGCCTTTCAAAGGAACGCTACGAAACAAAATCGAGAAGACGATCATTGTCGAGATCCAAATCAAAGCGTTCAAAGAGAACAGTTTCTAGAGAACGTTCCCGTTCGAGATCTAGTTCCCGTAGTAAATCAAAGTATAGTAAAAGCAGCAAAAAGCATAGAAAAAGATCCCGTTCTTCAAGCAGTCGCAGTTCTTTTGATATAGGTACATAATCTAGTAACAAAAAAGACTAGTAAACAAGAATAATGGCAATTCATTCGACACTGGAACTTGTACGGACATCAAAAAATATTTATAAGTCTGCACCCTTAGGCTTTATGTTCTATTTTTTTATTACTTACAAAATTATAATTTACACCTCAAGTCATATTTGGCACTGAAATTATCTGAGTGAACATTACCTCAATCTACAATGTTTGGGATTAGTGTTTGTGTGAATATGTATAAGATAAATTAGTTCCAACTTTGGCCATTTCAGCACATGTTTAGCTCAGCCAGAATGTTAAGTGCGTAACCTATGGAATGCAGGTTCAAATCCTAGCAGTGACACAAAGCTTTGTCCATTTTTCTACAAATTTTAAATTTAGTCACTAATTTAAATATTTGTATTTGGATTGTGCCTGTATCTTATTTTTATTACCAAGACTAATAAGTTCAATATCTATAGAAAACCTTTTACAATTTGTTCAAAAAAACTTGAAAATATCATTTAAGAATTAATGAAGTTGCCTATGATATACAGCGTGTCGTTACCATCGTGACAATAAATGAACACACGTCTAACGTTACTCGCCAATAATCATAAAAAAATATTAACATTAAACAAAATCCATAATTAAAAAAAAATATTTTTCAAACAAACTAAGTAAAAAAGAAACAAAATTTGTAACACCTATACAACTCGCGCCACAGCGTCGCATTACAAGCCTCTCCAAACAGTATGTTTTGTCTCTTTTTAATTTATTCATATGCTTTGTGACCTTTACTAATGAACTTTACGTTACAGTTTTATACGTAAGGGTGTTCTAAAATTGTTTGTTTTGGAAAATTTAATAACTCAGTAAATATTTATTATTCAGATGTTTAATGAATGTAAATTTTTAATACAATTTTAAAAAGTTATCCTCTATATGTGTGTGGTGGTAACGACACGCTGTATACAATTGTCCAAACATTAAATATTTAGAAATTTATTTAAAGTAAAAAGTAATAAAGCGAGATACATGTTTTTACTAACTACATACTACTTAGATACTACGACATAGTTTGATTCCGTGTTAATGTGCAGTCCCCCTTGGATGGTTTTAATGTCAACTATTTTGGTGTATTTTCAGAACGCCCACTGAGAAGAGAAAACCTTGATGACACGGAAACAAAAGTAGAAAAAGCTATTAAAGCTGCAGAGGCTGCTGGTTTAACTATGACAAAAATTCCTTCATATGAATTTAAAGAAGTAGAAATAAAAGCTGATATGCCTACTATATATGACAGAAACTTAATTGATGAGTTGAACAGTGATTCATTTGTTCAGAAATCCTTCACATCATCAAGAAATAAAAAACAGTCGCAGAATATTGTAATTGACTTAAATGCAGAAACGATTAAAGTCCCTGAATCAGATATTAAAGTTCATAATGATGACTCTATTATAAACTTTGATGTGAGTCATATTACTTTACATTTTTTACACATTTTACAACTACTCTCCTTCTATGGGCCTATAATGAGAAGGGATGAAAGTTGTGCGACTGGAAGACTGATGAGTATGAATGTGGTTGGACTGTGTAAAGCTAGACTAAAACAAAGAAAGATTTGAATTGTCTGTGTGAGGAATGATGTCTGTGAAAGAGGTGGGTATTGAGATGATGGCCCATTGAAAAAGTGCAAGGAGAGGACATGGTGTGGGAACCTCATCTAGTATAGAAAAAGGGCTGGAAAAAAAAGAAGTGATGTTACAACTACACAATATTTAATACATAATTTTTTGGATGGATTCTTGTTAATTACTACAAGCTTATGATGTTCATATCTTAATAGATTCACGGTACTTTAATTCTACTACATTGATATTTTCTCCTTCTTTTGAATATGTATGAATGCACTATTGAACCAGGGATGATGTCTAATCTGCTACCTATATTAGAATAGTGGTTTGTTTAAAATAGAGCTCCAAAAAAGTAAAACTGAATCAATTTATATTACAAAATAGTAACAATAAATTCATATGTTATTCCAGGAAATACCCAGCGAAGAAGAACTTAAAGAAATGTGGGTGAGAAAGCTGTACCAATATAGGAAAAAGATGTTAAAAGGAGAATTATAAAATTTTAAGATATCTACTTTTATTTATGTGTAATTCACTGTGCTGTTTTTTTTTATAGATAACAGAAAACCACTTATAATACTTATTAAGTTTTATAATTTACTTTTTAAATAACAAACAATTTAGGCAAGGGTCTGTAATAAAAAAATGTTAAAACAACCTAAAATGTTTTATTGTATAACACAACAAGTAACCAGCAGCAATTAACTTACAATTGAATCATGCCCAGAAACTACATTATCTATATATACAGCACTGCTTTGAGTTATCACTAATAGAATGTATATATTTTCACATATTGTTTCTTTCCCGTTGAATACGACTGCTGTAAGTCCGAGAGACTAGGTTCCATGCGTCCATGTACCGGTCCATGCACATCGCGATACATTTTTGCTCAGAGTTATCAAGAGCGGTACCAGGTTTGTAAATACATTTTTTAAAACATTTTTCAGACATTTTCGTTAAAAGTTCTTGAGCATTAGCAATTGCTATTTGTTGCTTTACTTGATCCATGAGCTCCTCCTTTTGTGCTCCACTTAATGAACCCGTAGATAAAGAATCCATAATTAATGTTATTTGTTATATTTCAAATATGAAAATATTTCGAATTATCTAAGCATATAATTTTTCTAACCTCAACTCTGTAGACAAGCTAGTAAACATAGATAAAATAAAAGCTAACTAAAGACAAACTGTTCCAACAGAGTATAATTATGTCCAACAGGTATATATTTAAAGAACTCTTTGATTTCCAAGAAACAACTACAAAGTCAAACGTCGCTAACACAAAGTGCTATCGCAGAATCAAAAAAGTTAAATTAATAAAGTTAATCGCTATTAATAGCTTGTATTCATAATCAAATTAACTGATATTACTTAAACTAATGAAACACAAAAACGGACTAATCTATACATACATATTAACTACTACTATAAACGTATATACATACTTAATACAATATATCTTCTAATTATTACATCATATATATCAAATATTTTAATTTACGTACCTTAGTTAGAAAATAAAGAAAGAGGCAGCAAATAAGTTTGAATTTTTATACGGGGACGAAAAAGACTGATGTATCTCGAGATTTTTAACACTTACATTAGGTGATAAATGCTTACCATTCTTTTTTTTTTCTTATTATTTTTAGTTGTCCTTTTTACATTCGAACGAAACTTGTAAACGCGTGCTGTCACTTTGTTTTGAAATAGAAACACTTTCGACAGGGGAATTTGTAGTGTAGGTCTGGGCAACTTGTGTGCTTTGTTTTAATAAGTGTACGTTGCGTGTGACACATTGATATAAGAATATAAGAGGACATGCCCTTTATTGCATATACAATTTCTCATTATACAAATATGATGCAAATATACACCTCAATTACAAAAACATATCTCTCTCACTCTAACGCGTTGTAATTTAAAAATGTAAATAAAGTACAGTATATGTCAGAAATTAAAATTTTTGTTTTAATTTTCCGTTACGTCACGAAGCCCCGCCTTGAAGCACATTTTGTGACATGCCGCCATTTTAGGTCTACAGTTTTCTAAGTACTTCGACTGTCATATAATTGCTGTTCGAAAATTATTTTCATTTTAATAGTGAATTGTGTGTGTTCTGGTCATTTCTGAAGTGTTTGTAAAGATAAGTGGAAAAAAATTTTACATGGGAAAGTGTTACATCACAGGATGTTATTCGAATGCTGGAAAAAACAACGAAGTATTGACATTTTTAGGTTAGTTCCAGTTTTTGTATTTTTTTGTACTTTTTCGTATGTGATACTACTTGTGTATATAACAGAAATTGTACATATAGTGTTATTGGTTATTTTTTATTCTTCTAACTACTACTAACAAGTAAAATAGTCAATAAGTAAATATTTGCAATGTTTACATGAAAACGTAGTGTTGTTCATAGCATGGTTGTTTGAAAATTTTATCGAGACTTTATTTTTTTTGGCTCCACTAGTCAAAGTATCAAGTTCGTTACCACGAAGTTCGTATTGATAGTCGGATTAAAATGAAATAATATAATTATACAACATTCAGGGACATCGAAAATGTGAAGTATAATTGTGAATTTTGATAATAAGTCTTCTGTAATGTATTAAATTAATATTTATTTATTTTAGATTTCCGACAAATGAGGCTCTCTGCAAATTATGGATGGAAAACATAGGCACTGAAAATATAAAACCTGCAACCTGAGTCCTCAGAATATGCTCCAAACATTTTGAGACAATTTGAGTAAATAGAACATTGGGTGTGGTCATTGAACACTAATACTCTCATGGTTTTATGATGTAATTTACACCACTCACAAATTTATAATTTACTTTAATGTTATCTTACAGCACAGAATGGAATTATTCTTTACTAATTATTTATTAATTATTCTCTCTTATATTTTAAGTTGCAATTAAGATTAAAAGTTTTGAGAAGTGAGAGAAATTTGACTTGATCTGATGAATCCGTTCTAATACTTTTTGATTTATTATTATTATGGGGATATTTATTTGTTTTTTATTTTGGATATTTTTCTATTTGGTTGGGTTCATAAAAATAAAAGTAAACATATAGATAGAATATATAGCATAGCATACATAAAATAAAATTATTATTGTTAATGTATAATTTTAATAATTTGCAGCATGTACCAATGGATATTGACAAATATGGACATAGATACGACAAACAGACTCAAACAAAAGACAACAAATTCAGGTGAAAACTCTTATGGTGAGTATTTCTTCTAACTTCTATTTAAAAAATAGCATCATCGTCATTAACTAGTATCCTACTTATTAAAGGCTGGCACAATACGTTAATTTCAGTATATATTTTGATGAAATTTAATTGCATCAACCCTATGTATGTTCGACTGCAGAGCACGAATCTCCCCTGTTAATTATCTCCCTAACCTTATGTATAAAATAAAATATTTATTGTAATTTCACGTTACTTTTTAGGCTATGGTAGTTAATGCAACCAAAAAAGTCCAAGTTATGCAGACAAGTGAAGTTACAGCAAAGGAAAATAAAGATACTCAGTCAGAAGTGCCGCAGACTGAAGCATAAGTTGCTGACTTTCCAAACGACTATTGACGATTTGAAGAAACATAATTTAGTTCAGTTAGTTAATTAATTTAGTCAATTATTTAATTTAGTTTCATGGAAAAAAAAACACTCAGAAAATATATCAAAGCGCAACATTTTAACAAAAATAATATTATTCCGCCATGAATAAACGATTTTAATCAATATACTAATTGTTTTATTTTTATTTTATTTAACTATTTATAACAATAACATAAAATAAGATGTTACAATGCTGATGGCAATTACCACTGTTAGTTTACATTACCCTTACATCAGGTTTACATTATTTTTTTTTTAGTTTTTACCCCCTACCTACTAGTGGTGACAAATGAGAATTAATAGAAAGGTGTGCAAAGTTAATAACATTTTTGCGTGTCATCGATATCAATATGGATTTAATAAAACAACACTATTTGCTGTGGGCGGAGTCGACGCCATTTTAGAGAAACATTTGGCTTCAGCACACGTGACCTAACGTGACATCCTCTTATATTCTTTTATCAATGGTGTGACAGAGTACTTTTAAAATACCCGATTATTATGTCAAAGTCATCTGTCATAATGCAATGTCCAAACACCGGTATCCGGTACGATTAAATGTGTCAACTGTCAATTGATTCATTTACATTGTATTGTAAATGTAAACTAAATTAAATACAATTACTATCTAGTATCTAATTAATAGGTTAGGTATTAGATACTTAAATTTTTAATGTTAAATTTATACTTTGTTGTAGGTTTGGAGCTTAACACAAAATCAAGAAGCATATTAATTATGTATGCAAATTGAAAGAATCTTAACTAAGACAACAAAAATAAATTTTCTGAATTAAAAACACTAAACAACAGATTCAGTATCAGTTTGTCAGTATTCAAAAAAATGCATGAGATTGATCACGACGCACTTACTTTATCTCACAATGAACTTCTGGAAATAACTCAATCTTCTCTTTGCACCCTTTTAAATTATGACTCCTTACTTAATGATTTACCTTCTGATATAATTGTTGAAGAAATCTACTCGCAGGTACACATATAATGCTTCCCATATCCATGATCTTCCTCTTTAAATTTATTGGTAAAATTTTGTCATTCGCTTCCAGGTGTTTAATTTAATAATTAATTAATTATAATATATCCAATACATACCTGTAAGACATAGTAGAGATACATAGCTTCAGTGGACTAGATAGGACTCAACTCACCGTGAAAGCCTTCCTAAAATGTGGAATGTTGGGTGTGAGCACATGCATTTACAGCAGAGGGTGGAATTATGATCTACATGCAAGGTTCTATGTAGACCAGTCTGTTTGGCAATTTAATCTGGGGGAGAAGTGGGAACGGCGGGGTTCTCACTTCTCCCCCAACTTGGTGGCTTATTATATCTTCATGAATAGTTTGTGGTTCGATAAAATTATGATACAGATAGTATCACATTTAATTATTAATATCCTCAATATTTTTTTATATTTTCTCCCCAAAAAATAGTTTTGTTGAAATTAATAATAAGTTAAACAATCCCTTTTTTGGTGGCTCAAAAATATGTCAAATATAGGAAAACATATTTGATAGGATTTTGCTGTACTAGCACTTGCTGTTGAAAATTTGTCAATTTCTATAAATCAGATTGATATGTTACATTATTTCACAGGTTGCCGTAGAACATGGTAAAGCTATAACAATATTCATATCAAGGGAAGATGAACCTGAATTAAAAGTAATAGTAAGTATATTTCACCTAATTTTCTACATAGCAAACTGTTCACACATATCCCAACCACAAACATTTGCTAAATTTTATTCCCTGATTAATAGAACTCTCAAAATATATGTGTAATTAAAGAGAGTAATATTTGGATTATTGATTAATTTCTAGGTTTTGAATTCACACCAAGTTAAATTGTTCTTGTTGTAACCTTATTACTGTTAACAAGCCATGATAGCTCAGTGTCCGGAACATTCACTTTTAATTCCATATACTGGAGCTACCCGACTTCAAATCCCAGTGCCAGCACTAATGAAATTGTTAATTTTAAGTGATGAATTATCATGTGTTCAGCGGTCAAGTACAACAGTGAGAAAACCTGCATAGTTTCAAAATAGTGAAAAAAATATTTTGAAGATACAGATATCTGCCCATCCTCAAGGGCTGGTAGACTACACCCTCTATACAGAGAAGGCCCAAGAGTGAAAAATGTACATATAAGCAGTTACGTGCCATATATGTTATGTACCATTTCAGTATATATTTATCATGTATGCCTTATGCACTATACCTTGTATAATGAAATGACATTAAAAATAATATATTTTAATTTATCTTCAATATTTTAAAGAGGAGTAGTGTTTTTACTTTATTTTATTTAAAAATTAAAGTAAAAACAAAAATATATTTAAATATAAATTTCAATGTTCTAATTTTAAAAGATGTTTTTGAATTTATCCATATAATAAAAATCCTTCTCTGTCCTGACCTTATCCCAACTAGGTGGGGTTGGCACATTATGTGTTGTGTGTTGTTCATTAAAAACAATATCATTATATTGGCTAGGTTTTTTTTTTACCATTCGCTTGCCAGAACCAACCGCAACCGTGTCAACCACCCGTCATTGGGAATAAACACACCAATCCGGAACAATTGTCTATGGATCATGTACTACTTGTCCCATATGGAATTTAAATCTCTTAGTAACTTTACCATCAAGTCATCTACCAATCATAAAAATTAAGCCCAGGAATTATCTTGCAGTTATAGATACCGTACTGATACTTTTATAGACACAACATGAATAAATTTTAATTTTATTTTTAACAGGTTCCACAAAAGGCGACAGTTGCAGATCTTAAGAAAGCAATAGCTAGACATTTTGAAATACATCAGAAGAGGACAGGAAGTAAAGTGAAGATATCATGGAAATATATTTGGAAGACCTATAACTTGAGCTTTGATGGAATAATATTGGACAATAATTCAAGTCCTATTGATGATTATGGTATAACTAACAAAGTAAGATTATGTTTTAAAAAAAGAAGGAATAAGAATAAGTAAAAAAAAAACATGCTTAATGTTTATTATTAACCATTTAATATGGTTTCGCAAAGTATTTCAAAATATTGAATATTATATTCTGATTAAGATACTAAATATAGAATGTTGAAAATATAGTTACGGACATACGGTTATCTAATTAATTTTTAAGATAATTATAATTGTTTATATTACTTAACAATAATAACTGAATAAAAATGGTGAATACATGATTCTTTTGTTTCTTCTCTTTTTGGAAAATATTTTGTTCATAGTAAGTAACAACTGTATTATGAACACATACAAGTATTAAAATGAAATTATAGAATATTCAGTACTACACAAAAGATTGTCTTAATCAAAAATCAGTTTTTTATAGTTGTTCAAAGTCTGGTTGTGGGGGAGGTTCCTGCGGTAATGGTTCAAAATCTCCAAGACTGTAGTGTGCCTCTTCGTGCCGAGGAGTAGCCAGTGGTCGGTCATATGTATCTTTCAATAACTCGGTGTCATGCTGAAATTTCAAGGTATCTTATAAAACATTGGGCCAAATTTGTCTGTTACTTTAAAATATTATTTTAGACATCTTGTTAAATTTTCACCGTTTGCGCCAAATAAATATAAAAAAAATCTTATACTGTTTATATTAATACGTAGATAAAATAATAAATTCACGTAATTGTCTTTCGACAATTGCCTTCAATGATGACATTTTTTCTAAATAGGGTAATATTCTGTTCTGTATTCCGTAGTCTAAAATATCGGAGCCGTGATAGCAAATTGGCCGGGCGCTCGCTTTTAATTCAATATACTAAAGCAACCTGAGTTCGATCCACTGTGCCGGCACCAATGATATTTGTAATTTTAAGTGCTGACTAATCACATGGTGAAGGAGAATATTGTGAGGAAACTTGCATATTTTCGAAATAATAAAAGAAAACGTTTCGAAGATATGTGAAGTTCGCCAATCCGCAGTGTGGCCGCATGGTAGACTATGCCCTGATACCCTATTTACAGAGGAAGCCGTTGCCCAACAGTGGAACATGTATAGGCAGAAATACTCTAAAACATGATTGAATTTGGTAAACATATATTCTACGGTTTTGATCATCACCTGATCAGTCTGTAGAACCGAGGGCGGTGCGAGATCGTCCAGAGACAGTTGAGTGTTGAGAACGGACGGGGGAGCGTAATCCGCTATCGGTGCCATGTTTTCGACCGGCTGCAATATTAAATGATAATATTTTTACTTACTACATTATGACCTGCCTCATAGGCACAGGCAAATAGGGCTTATAACATTTTTTTGTAACTCGCCACGATAAATTGACTTGTTGCTGTCACTTCAGTTTATATACATGTTTTAAATATTAAGTGGTAACTGTTAACAAAAGCGGCACCCTCGTTTTCGTATATAAAAATTTTAAAGCAATAGACAAATATTTGTAATATTTGTAATATAGACAAAAATAGTGGCAGTCTACGGGGGAGCCTATGTTCAGCAGTGGACTCAAACAGGCTGAAGTAATGATGAGACAAAGAACAGAAACAATAATTATTACGAAGAAAAATTATCGCCATTTAGATTTTAAGAAAAAAAAAATATTAAAACATAGCATTTCTAGTTATTTAATTCATATCATGACTTCATTTATATACTATAAACGAAAAACAAAAACCTTGTGGTTCTAGCCACTAGCTTGTTGCCTCCTTATTAATAATTATTACAATAGGAATTAAAAATCAAGGAGAGGTTTATTAGAGCCAGTTCATTGATAATTTAATACAATTTTCGTTATTTATAGCGTTAGTATAAGCTTACATTTTCAACTGGCGCTGGTTCCTGCGACGCTTTGTTGGAGTTACTTTCGTCCGAATTGGCGATGTTGGCGCGCGCCTCCTCTTCGGAGCTGTACGCAGTTTTGCGCTCGCATACGAGCAGATGGGACAGCATGTCCGTTCCTGTTATAAGTTTAAATGAATATATCTTTAATAAAACTTAAGACTTGCTACAATTGCTTTAGTTAATAGTCACAGAGTCATTCTTTGTAATCATTCAAATCAAATTATTCATTACTAATACGATTCAAGTGTAATTAAATATTTTAAAAGAAATAAAACTGATGTATTCTATAATTAAATTCTATATATTAAATAATATTCCAAATCCTGAATGCCCAATAGAGCACCCTGTAGATGCCGGTGGTTCGGAAACATATTGAAATATGTTGTAAGTATATTGAAGTATTCCCAATAGACACCCTTGGAGTGAGTCGTTTAAAAAAAGGGCGCTCGCCTTTAATGCAATTTACTCAAGCAACCTGAGTTCGATCCCCGGTGTCAGCACCAATGAAATTGTTAATTTTATGTGCTGACATATCACGTGCTCAGCGGTGAAGGAAAACATCGTGAGGAAACCTGCATATTTTCGAAATAATAACAAAAATTATGTCGTACATATGTGAAGTCCGCCAATTCGCAGTGGGGCCGCGTGGTGGACTATGTCCTGATTCCCTCTGTCCAGAGGAGGCCTTTGCCCAGCAGTGGGACATTTATAGGCTGTTATTTTACAAAAGACCCAAAATTTTTGTATAAAGCAGCCTAATACATAGTCTAAAGGAAGGGAATCATTATATTAATTATTAATTAAAAGATATGATTCCGTAGCGCAGTTGCCAAGGTATTCGAATGGCTTCGGCGTCGGGGGTCGTGGGTTCGATTCCCACATGGGACAACTATTTGTGTGGTCCACAGATAGTTGTTTCGCATCTGGGTATTTGTCTGCGTGAAGTTTATGTTTGTAAAATGTCCTTACAACACAGGATAATGTTATCCTAAAGTAAGGGCAATGTTTTTAAAAGAAAAAGAAAGAAAGAAAGACAATTTCCCATGTTAAAGAGAATTGAGTTTTTATCGCCGATTCACTTGATGCACTTCACTCGGTGCACGTGTGTGTGTAAACCCGTACACACGTCCGCGGTGTACTCGGTGCATGTGCGTGTGTATACACGTGTACACGTCCTTGCGTGTGTGCGCGCCCCCACCTATGTCGGTGGCGTAGCCGCAGACGCAGTGCGCGCGGTAGGGGGCGCGGCGGGGCGCGTCCTCGAGCGAGTGCTGCCCCGCGCAGTAGCCGCTGTGGCGCAGCATGGCGCGGTAGCACGAGGTGGCGTACGGGCACTTGCTGCACTTCGTCAGCCCGCTGCGGGGGATAACCGACGAGTTACACTTTCGGTATCAAGTTATTTATAGCCTTTATTACCACCGTTTAAAGCGTTCACATGGCCAGTGCAGTTTTTATAGAGGCTTCGGCTTCACAAGTTATTTAGAACGCCAATTGATAAAGGCTGGTGATGGCCAAGTTCTTTAGTGTAATGTACATTATCCATCGATTTGTGTTTGATTTGATGTAATATCGTTTTTATACAGAGCCTTTTTAATCAATAACACTATAGTTGAAATATATTCAACATAACAATCTTCTCTGTGATAATAATGACGACATATCGACTAGAGTCATGACATTACAGTGATTACACTGAAGTGTATCGTTGTGGTAGTATCCGCGTGTATGTATGTATGCGTGCGCGTGTGTGGGGGGACCTATATGTTCGGTAGTGTTCGTCTTACAGGAAATGCTTGTCGCTGTCCAGGGGCGTGTCGCACTCCCTGCAGAGGAGTCCATCGGGCAGCACGAGGGTGAGCGATTCGTAGGTGTCGCTGATGCCGTGGCTGGTGGAGTCCTTGACCGGTGGGCGGGCCTTGTTCTGCGTGAAAGAACGACGTTAACATCTCCAAGTTAAAGCGTGGAAACCATTGGGGTCAACGTGTATCGAGCCTGATCGAGCCAAGGGCTAACATATCCCATCAACCCTGGACGTGTTACAGGAGGCACGGTTTCTTTGAAGATCACTCGTTTCCAACTGACACTATAAAGGATATAGGAAGATGCAGGACCGTAGAAGGTAGGTAAATTACTAATATAAATAATATATATTGTTATTTATATAAGTAATTTAAAAACATATTCACTGCCATAACCATTAAAGAAGTATGTGAAATTTTTTATTTAGAATATTTGTTATTCTAAAGTAAAAATGTAAGTTTAATGTGAAACTTTTCCAGACTGTAAAGAATGTAGTTTACTTACCTTGGGTTTATTTATCAAATGCTCTTCGGAACACAATGGTATAGCGTCTTCTACTGTGATGTGATCCCTGACTTGATGTTCCTTCAGCTGGCCTGTAGGTACATAAGTAAAAACGAAACATAATTTTAGTTCCAAGTCTAGTATTAGATTATTGATGGTAGTACTACTATTAAAGATTTATCTTTAATAAACTATAGTCTAGACAGACTATAGTTATTTCTATTTTTACTGTATCACTGTGTGTTCTGTCTATATGACTGGTTAATTAGAAGTTACAGTTGCTATGCACCAGAATTCAGTGCTGGAGGCCGTGAGTTTTATGACAGAAAGACAATCGCTCCTGATACAGTTGCTTCTAAAACGAATCTAATACACAGGAACATACTGAAGAATAAATCTCTACAGTATGGGCAATGTATAAAAAACGTTATTATTTGAATTAAAATTTCTTATTTTTTTAAATAATCTATATAATTATTTATTAACATAAATATATTATAACATTGTGTTGTAACAATTTTTTGTATTCTACTTGGACAAACTAAATAAATAAAGTTAATAAATTATTTCAGGTGAACTTACCAAGGTGAACAAACTTGAGAACGCATCTGTTGCAGCTGACCTCAAGCTCTTTGTTTTGATGTTGCTTAAGGTGGTCGATATACAGCAGCACATTCGCTGTCAATTCGTATCCATCCACATACACTGTGATTACCTGAAATAGGGAAAAACAGTTTTAGCGAAGCACAAGCATTTTGAAAGGTCAAGAGAGGAAGGATGGGGGAGGGTGTACCTTCGGGGAGTGGGGAGGAGAAACGTACCATCTAGGAGTGCAGGGTTAAAGCGTGCCTTAAGATGAGCTCGGCGGAGAACGTATCTAAGAGGAGTTCGGGTCAGAAGTGTGCCTTGGCAAAGTGCGGGTAAAGGATGTACCTTGGGGAATTGCGGGAGAGGGGTGTACCTTAAGGGGAGTGCGGGCAAAGTGGTACCTTAAGGGGAGTGCGGGGCGGTACGTTCCTTGAGGCAACGCGAGAGGGCCGTTCCTTAAGGGGAGTGCGGGCAAAGTGGTACCTTAAGGGGAGTGCGGGGCGGTACGTTCCTTGAGGCAACGCGAGAGGGCCGTTTCTTAAGGGGAGTGCGGGCAAAGTGGTACCTTAAGGGGAGTGCGGGGCGGTACGTTCCTTGAGGCAACGCGAGAGGGCCGTTCCTTAAGGGGAGTGCGAGCAAAGTGGTACCTTGAGGCAGTGCGGGCAGTGGAGCTGGGCGGAGGCGGCGTGCGCGGCGGCGCAGTGGTCGAGGGTGGCGCGGTGCGCGGACGCGCGGAAGTCGCACGCCGCGCACGCGTACGGCAGCTCGCGGGGCGCGTGCGCCTTCTGCATGTGCGACGCCAGCGTCAGCACCGCCGCGAAGCGCACCTGCGAAAAAATCCGGTCGATGTTACCATGTCGAAATTACGCACTTTGTTCGGACCAACGCGACCGAACTGTTGAGTGTTGTCATTTTATGCATGTTATGCACATTTCACTCGCGTACATTTGGTATGGCTAAATTAAGTCACGCGACCAAATCGAATCAAAACAAACCAATTATAAATATCGCGTATTCAACAATAATTATAAACAGTAATTAATGATTAATGCTTTTTACAATAGGTAATTTTCACCATTTGCCTAGACTTTAATAAATCATTTAAAACCAGACTACCTATAAACTCTCTATACTCAAAATCAAAATTTCATTATTCAATATAAGCTTAAATTAAGCTGTTACTGAACGCCAAAAAAAAAAACTACCAAACTAAACCTGACTAGAAAAGAACCGGAAAGTCTGCGGTCTTGTTGTAAGTATTAGCATTATAGTATTACCAAATAATCATTATTAGTGTTGTACTATTAGCATATACCACAAAACGGAAACTCTTAATACAACTTCTTCGCACTCGTAATCGATCGAACCAATCATAAACTTAGAAGTACATGGTGCCAGATCTATACATGGCAAGAGATCCCTCGGCTTACCTCGCAAATGAGGCAGGCGTATGTGAAGAGCTCCGGCGACTTGGTGTCGACGGGGTGGTTGTGCTTGAGGTGCAGCTGCAGCTCTTCGCGGTCGGGGAAGCGGCCGAGGCAGTAGTGGCAGAGGGCGCGGCCGTCGCCGGGCGGCGCCACGTGCTCGAACAGGTGCGTCGTGAGGGTCCACGCGTCGTGGAACATCGCGCGGCACAGCGGGCACTGGCGGCGGAGATATAGTCCTTACCATAGTTGGTACACGCAATAAAGACTTCGTGGAGTGGCTACCTAAAACTATTGTAATGTAAATATATAAAAAAAAAATTTATAACATCAACATGTATTTTGCTCTTCTTCAATTCAGATTTTATGTGGAAAATGGTAAAAATGTCGAGTAAATTTTTTAATAAGTACCAAAACTAATTTGACCTTTTAGAAATCTGTATAATCTAGCGTAGCTTATTATAACAGTCCATTGATTAAGCCTTAGTTAAGGAATAACACTTTTACTATCATATATTTTTGACATCAACACCAAGAAAAGTACGGAAGTAACAGGCTGTATATTATATTAGTTTACGCATGCAAATTTTTCCTTAATCTTTCATGAACATGATTTTTTGTATACATCTTTAATGTGGTCATCAGTTACTTTTTACTCCTATATTCCTCCAATAAAGATTATTCGACAAAATGAATAACCATGAATTTTTTTAACGAAAACATACAAAGCATGTTCGTGTGTCGGACAGGGTGAGTCTGATAAAAATTCGTTTGGCAGCGCTACCTCTACGGCAATGGCGAGCCTGGCCGGCTCAGCGGCGCCGCCGTACTGGCCGAAGTAGTATCTCTCGAGGGAGACCGTCTCCTCCTGCTTGATGCTCTTCAGCGGCACGTCGTCCAGGTCGTCGTCCACGTACGAGCGCGCGATCTTGCGCCGAGCGCGCGGCGTCTGCTCCGGCTCCCTCTCTCTGTCTTTCTCTTTCTCCTTCTCCCTCTCCTTCGTCTTCTCCTGCTTGATCTTCGTGCGCCGCAGCGCCAGCGGCACCTGACAAATTGCAACGGTCCTGTTTAGTTTTCAAAGCAGACGATTAGTCAGCGCTTTGTAATATAATGAAATATCTCCATAGAGAAACAAAAAGAACAAAATGTTTTTTTCCATGTAGTGTTATAGATGATCTATTTAGATATTTATTTAATATTTTATACACAAAAAAAGTCTTTGTACAAAGGCAGACTTAAAGTCCAGTTAGTTAAGTTTTTCCAGTAAACCTAACGGGTTATCTGGAGAAGTTGAGGTAAGTACAAAAATAAAATAAACTAATATGTAAATAGAAAGAAATATAACATAATAAAAGATTTGTAAATTTACTCAAGCAAGTTATCTTGTTAAGAGTATTTAATCACTGGACAATAATGTAAACAAAATACATCTTGAGCAGATGTATGCTTTAGACAGTTTGTCGTTAAATTAAGTGCAAGATTGAAAACCGCCGTAATTTTTGTATACTTCATAATTTGGCTTGACTATTAAAAAGACAAATAATATACAGGTGAATAAACTCTGTGAGTTGTAAATATCATTGGCTTATACTGCTTATCCTATTAGAAATAAAAGATGGGAGTCTCTTTGTGTTTAATTTGTTTTCAATATTCACCTCTTCATCGTCGTCGTCATCTACATACGTGGTCGCCGCAATCTTCTCTTTCTTCTTCTTCTTAGGCGGGGGAGCTGGTGACACCTCCTTCTTCTTTCGTCCGCGCTTACCGCGCCCCATATCGGGCTCCGGTTCCGGCTCAGATTTGTCTTTTTTCTGAGTATGTTATGAAAGAGTTGTAAACAATTTCTATAAATAATTTAAAAGCTATAGAATGAGCCCAGTTTGCAAATTGTTTTCTAAACAAACTCTTAGTTTAACAATGACTGCTTTAATTTTAATGAATAGCCCCCATTTACACAAGGAAACTGTTTATAAAAACATTAGATCAGTATTGAAATCGTATTAACCTATGACAAAACAATATTATCCTATGACAGGCAAACAGTTATTCATGGGATTTAAAACAATTTTCCGGTCGGATAATCGAACCCGCGACTCTTGGTGCCGTACTGGCCAATCGATCCATCAAAGTCATCACTCACCTTGCTGGGATACTTCCAATTCTTGAATGGGTTGGCGGCGATCTTGTTCAGACGCACGGTAATAGCATCTTTAGCCTCCAGTTTGGTCTGCTCCGATATGTGCAGCACTATGTTGTCGAACGCTTGTCCAGGTGATACGCCGAATCTGAGCAAACATTTTTTCTAAGTGACACCATTCAAGAGGTGATACGATGTGATACCAGTCTCTCACTGGATAAAAGTCTCTTCCAAGGTATTATAAGTATGTACTGTCAAGTGCAAGAGTCAAGTTATTTGTTAAAAACTAACCTATTATGTAAAGAATTGATGATATCTAACATAAAACAACAACAGACAGGTAGTGGGAATAGGACAAAGCTAAGTCAAGTCAAGGCAGACAAATGGTCTTTATAAATTTAAAACTCGGTGAATACCTTATAATTTTAAATAAATTGACTAATGTGGTTAAAAGACAGTAATTTTTTATGACATTAAAGAATTTTTTTATAAGAATAATTTGCTCGTTATTATAAATTGTGATATTTTTTTGAGAATTGATTATGTATAATTGAATTTAGTCCACTTTATACATATAAATGGTTGATGCAATTAATATTTTGCAACCTGTTTTAGCCTAACATGTAGTACAATATTAATGATTTGTAACACCTCTTGTGATACCATTGTTAAAGTAAATATGTAAATAATTATTTTATCTTATCTAACCTCTCCCTCCACACCAGTTCGTCCAGGAACTGCTGTATTATCTGTCTGGAGAGCAAGGACAGCGTATTCTGGAACATTCTGGGCACGATGCGGCGCAGGTACTCCATGATGTTGGCGTTGCTGTTACGCGAGGGCTGGTCGGAGTGCGACGAGGACTGCACCACGTGCTTGAAGCCCATGGAGACCAGGGTGCCCTTGTCCACCGTCAGGTCGGTGAGGATCACAGAGGAGGGGTGCACCCACGTGCTGAGCGGCTCCAAAATCTTCTGGAAGCGTTTCTTGTAGTTCTTCTCGTATTCGGCCAGCGGCTCGACGGCGCGCAAGCGGATCTGTAAAATTATCATAGAGATACTAGAGACATACTACTTTATCATTTTGAAATATGCAAGTTTCCTGCACAACCGAGCACATAAACGTCAACACTTGAAATAAATATAACCAACCACAAGTAAATAATTACTACTCTGGTGGTAGGCCAAACAAAATTTTTTTCTCATTTAAAAAAAAACAGCTGAAGGCCACAGCGCGCTCACCAACTTGTCGACGGGGTCCAGCACGCCGAGCACCTCGACCTTGACCTGCCTCTGGGTGCCGTCGTGGCTGGTGGTGCCGAGCGAGATAACGCCCACCTCCACCTTCTTGCCGGAGCCGCCCAGCAGGCCCATGTGCTGGTGTATGGCGGCAGTGCATACGGCGCGCAGCCAGGTGAACAGGCTCTTCACGTACAGGTTGTCCACCTTGACCCACTGCACCACGTTCTGAACGTTGGTCTGGCACGCCCAGTGGTAGATCAGCTTGAGCAGCACGCTCGGCGGGAAGGTGGCCGCCTCGAAGATCGAGCTGGAGAACACAGACACGAAGCGCGTGGGGCAGCACTCGGATATCCACACGTAGCCGCCGGAGTACGGGAACTTCGACACGTCCGAGTACATACCTGGAATGGTGTGTAGCGTGGTACATCAGTGAGTTCAAAGTAAGGGTCTTAGTAAGATTTTATTAAATTCACATATTTTTCACCAGCATTCTGAAAGCTTCTTATTTAAAACTCATTTATAGTTTTATGCATTCTTGTATATTTTTTATTTATTTATTTTTATTTGTTTATTCTTATTGAAAACACCTCAAAAGGGTTACAAAGGGCGGACTTAATGCCTATTGGCATTCTCTACCAGTCAACCCCGGGCGTGAGGAGAAATCGTGGTAGGTGCAGTAAATAAAATTGCATAATAAATTTATGACTTAAATAATAATGTATTTATAATTTGAATCTCAGATAAGACTCCAACGGTTTTCATGGAATTGAGTATGCAGGGGTTTTAGGGGGCGACAAATCGCTCTAGCAAGGATTCATTATTAGGGTTCCGTACCCGAAGGGTAAAACGGGACCCTATTACTAAGACTCCGCTGCCTGCCTGTCTATCTGTCTGTCACCAGGCTGTATCTTATGAACCATGATAGTTGGACAGTCGAAAATTTTGCCGTTTTTATAGATAATGGTACGGAACCCTTCGTGCGCTAGTCCGACTAGCACTTGGCTGTTTTTTTTTAGAAAAAGTCGTTTTTCCGTGTTTTCAGGCAATGAAAAGCTGATACAATATTATTAGAATACGAAGGCAAATTTCGCCATCATCTAAAAGGTTAAAATGATTTTTATTTTTTCTCTTTTTTTTTTTAACTTCCAGGGCAAAGCTCGGTTACGCAGGTACTAATAACACGACGGCCGCGGTACGCACCCAGTTTGAGCTTGTTTTGCGGGTGGAGCAGACACCACTGCTCGCAGCGCACCAGTCCCTGCTGGATGAGCCACTCGGTGAACTTCATGGGCGTGTGGATGAGCACCGACTTGACCTTGCTGTCCAGCGCAGCGCGGTCCGCGGCGGGGGGCGCCTCCTTCGCGCGCAGGTACGGCCGCGCCACCACCACCAGCGACGGGAACGTCTTGCCTGGGAGAAACAGATCGATACTCTTCCGCTTGTAAAGACCTACGCTTCAGTGTATGCTGTTGCATGAATAGGCAGTCTCGTCCGGTGAAGTACCACGGCATACCAGAAGACCGGCGTGAAGTGGAACTATTTTAAGGGTTTTAGTCCTCTTAGTCCCATATTGATAGTGATATTCGTTACCATGAAAATAATTATGTTGGTTTCAACCATAATTATATGACGTAAGTGTCTTCAAATAACATATTGCTCGGATAGTAACGTACAGTTTTTTCTATAATTAACCGAAAGTAAGTTTAAAAAACATTCAATTTAGTATTATAAAAGTATAATTAATTGATTTCTGTTTCTGAATCTACGGTCTTTGGTGATGCAGTTACCAAGGCAACGCACTGACGCTGGAGGTCGTGGGTTCGACTCCCACACGGGACAAGTATATATATGATCAACAAATAATTGTTTCGGATCTGGGTGTTGGTCAAAGTGAAATTTACGTATGTAAAACATCCTTACAACACATGAGTATGTTGTACTATAGTAAAAGTAATGTTTAAAAAATAAAAGTGAAACAAGAAAAAGTAGATGTTATATACATTACTTCGATAGTGATATATTGTGTAAAATATTATTAAACAAAATGACACCAACCCTGCAACTTGTTAAATGACACCTCACGGGAGTCAGCAACATTTTTATTGCTCTCCTCCTTAGTAAGGTCGACGATTGTAGTAGATTTAGTGGCACTACCGGTCAGCAATCCGCCAATGGCCGTATTCTCGGATGGCCGAACATTTGTCACAACACTGTGGACATCTGAAAAATAAAAATAAGTTTCCTGCACAACCGAGCACATAAACGTCAACACTTGAAATAAATATAACCAACCACAAGTAAATAATTACTACTCTGGTGGTAGGCCAAACAAAATTTTTTGCAGTTCTCATTTAAAAAAAAACAGCTGAAGGCCACAGCGCGCTGCACAGGCAATTTTGCACTATATCTTCAAAAGTTTTTAAGTTTAAAAAAGTGACATACATCAATCTAGAAGCACACCTGGATCTTATTTATTATTTTATTAGTCTATAAAATTTATACTTGGATTTTACTTACTTGATGGGGCAAGGGTTTTATCCTTTGTTTTTGTGCTTTCCTTATCTTTGTCCTTATCTTTTTCTTTCTCCTTATATTTGTCTTTATCCTTCTTTTTCTTCTTATGTCGTAGTTCAGGTGACTTGGTCCGATCAGAAGCTGGGGAGTAATCATAGTCTTCTTCGCGTACTTTTCGTGGGCGACCTTGAAGTGTACACAAAATAAGATCAAAATATTTTAATAATCACTATTGACTCTGTATTTGCCATTATGTAATAATAACAATAATTATTATATTTAAATATGAAGGGTTAAAAAACTTTATGAGAAACAATAGTTACAATATTCGTATGTAATTGTAACAAAAAAAAAATGATGCAAGTTTTCTTTATTTTGTGATCTCAAATCAAAAAGATAATAAGTAATTAAATTAATTTTACCTCTCCTTCCAGTTTTGGGTGCTGCTTCTTTACTAATAGAAAGAGAGCGAGACCTTGAACGAATAATCTCTGCACTCTGCCTTTCCAAATCTTTCAGCACAGGTTGCCTATTAGGAAAAATTGCGTTTTTAAACATTAGCTTACATATAAATTAAATATTCTTGTCATAGAAGTTAATTTTGATTTGATAAATACTTACTTTCCTAAAAGTTGGTAGGCAGTGAATTGGTCACCATTGTAGACTATTTCACCACCAGTGCTCTTAACTATATCATCCAACTTGTTTTGAATACTTTTATACTCTTCATCGGCATTTTTATATGCTTGTAGCTGTACTTCTGACAACTCCTCTTCCCAGCAATCTAGTTCCAACGTAGGTACATCGGGACCGAAATAAGTTCTCTTGTATAAATCTGCCTCAATTATTTCTGCTTGAGGAGGAACAACTGGTTCCGGTTGAACGGGAGCCTAGAATTAGTTTAACATGAATTATACTTTTAATAATGACAGTCATTAAAGCTCATTGAATTGTTTACAAATATTACGGCTTACTTCACTATCGACTTTCAATTTTTTGAGTTTCATTTTCGAGTCATAGTATTTTTATAAATAAATGAGAAATCGTTTAGTTGCATCAATTAATAAAAAACAGAAGAAAGAACTTGAGGAAAATACGTAGTAGTTATATTCTTTCTGGAAAATACTCCCAAGATGCTCCCAAGAAAGCTACTGCCAAATAGAGTTAGACCAAAGAGTTCTTTTATATATCTGAAATGACGCTAAACTCAGTGTTGCCAACTAATTTAAAAAAATGGCCCTAAAATCAAGATGAAATACCCCTAAATAGCTGGTTCTTTTCTCACTCAAAGTTTTAGCATAACCATTCAGCGAGGAAATGCAGCTAGCATTCTTGGCACCATGCCGCGTGGATTAGGTTTATTAGATAATATTTAATTTTAGATACATTTAATCCCCTACAAAGGCCCTGTCATTTTGGGGCTTTACATTTTGTGAAGATAAACAAATATAACTTGTTTTTAATTACTTTTCATTACAAATAGTTGAAATAACTAACAAAACAACATAATATTAACTAAAATTTCATTAATTACATTAATTTATAAACATTTTGCCTTTTTTTACTCATTTTGGTCAGGCGAAATAGTGATGCATCAATAATATTTCATGCACCTAAAAATGGCCCTAAACGTTTTTGGTTCCCTAAAAAAAGCCCATGATATATATTTTCGCCCTAAATTTGGGGCTAAAAGCCCTAAATTGGCAGCACTGGCTAGACCATGCTAAAAGCAGTGATACCGAAAATATATCGATATATCAATATTTTTATTAAATACTGGCGACCCGCCCCGGCTTCGCATGGGTGCAATGTATTATAGATATAAACGATTAGTTAGAGATAGAGAGAGAGAGGGAGTACAAAGTGTGAGGTTTGCGAGGCGGAAGATTGAAGATTTTGAATGTCTAAATACAGTGAACCCTAGTACTCTCGTCATGAATTAATTTCGTAAAATTTTTTTGTTTTAATCGATTGGTGTAACTGTAAATTATGAATCGGTTTAAGAACATGGCAATTTTTTGACTTTGACGTCTCTAATCACTTGTCGTACTATCTATCATCTTCCAAACAAAAATGTTAGCAGTCTAGAAATTCTAGATTAATGAATTTGTCTTAACATCGATATAAAAACTTATATTACTGTTAGGATTGTAAGGAGTCATGGAAGCAGTACCTAAATTACCTTTGATCAGTTTCGAATTAAAAGTCAGCCCCGAGAATACTCATTTTGGACCTAAACTAAAACAGGTAAATGTCTACGTTTTGTATGTTGTGAAAAATATGACTTTCTTCGTGACTTTCTTTGTTGCTTATTATGAATTTTGTTACAGTATATAGCAGAAGCATATAGAGAAGACCCAGATAGCTATGGAAATGAAATACATCAATTGGAAGGCCTTCGATCGGCCGCCGTAAGAGCCACTGTTGACGCAGCGGGCCTTAATTCTCTAAACAGATATTTTTGCCAGCTTAGGGCGATGCAAAGCCGATTCCCGATGGCTAAAGGTCAACCAGTCGCCTGCACTTTTGTCTGGTAATAGGATAATTAAATTAAACCTGTGATGTCTGTTGATCATAATTGTTCTTACTTATTGATCGTCAATTTTATTTGTGGATATGGAGTTATAGAATTTCTTTCATTCTAATATATTTTATTATAAAACCACACTGGTGGTTGTGTGAACACTTGTTGCAAAAATTTTTCCTTATTATTTTATTAAAACTTGTAGAAAAAGTACGAAAAGATTGTCGCCGCCGTGGGAATTGAACCCACGTCTTCGGCATTCGCGGCCTGACGCTTTAGCTGATTGCCACACCGATGAAAATCTTAACGTTTTTTATCATTTGAAGCAATGCATGGCGCAGCACAGAGGCGACAATCTTTTCATACTTTGTCTACAATTTTTATTGTTTCTTCTTAAGTGCAGAGATTAGCACAATAAAAAACTTTAAACTTATTATTTTATGTTAAACGAGTTTGATGAACAACAAAAGACTTAATTCTTTTTTACAGGAAGGACCTGTATGCTAATATGAGCTGCTCATTAGCTGACATACGTTTTGAAATGGCATCTATATTGTACAACATTGGAGCACTTCACACCCAATTAGGCGCAGCAGAACCTCGCACTACTCCAGACAGTCTAAAGGCTTCATGTACCCACTATCAGCAGGCTGCTTGGGCCTTTAACTACCTAAAGGAGCAGTATCCGCAGCCATCAGGTGCTGATATTTCACCTGAAATATTGTCATTACTTCAGGAAATATGCTTTGCTCAGGCACAAGAATGCATTTTGGACAAAAGTATACAGGATACAAGGAAATCCAGCGTTATTGGTAAGTGTATTGATTGAAAGGAAAAAGAAAATGAAGCTTTAATGGGGTACACACTTAGCTTCTTTGGTTCACCAAATTTATCAAACCTATTAAATGTGATTGGTGAACTTGCCACCTTAGACTGATTTTCACACAATATGTTTCAAAAAATTTAACAAGCAATCATCCTTATAGTGTAAATTACATTAACTGACAAGTTTTAGGTAAAATTAAGTATTTTCAGCGTTGTTAAGTTTGCTGTAAATATTTAGCATGCATTGAGCATCAATATAAGTTTAATTAAAGGATTCCTATTCTCAATAAGAACTAGCTTTAATTAGCATATAGTATAAAAATTTAACCATAATGTTATAGGTGCTGTGGCTACGCAAGTATTGTTATTCTATAAAAACTCACTGGCACATCTTGGACCATCATCTGGAACAGACAATAATCACGAAATAATTGGGATGAAACTTTATAATCAATGGCATCGGTATCTCTCCTTCAAAGTATCATACATTGGCTGCATTGTTTATTTATATCAAGGTATGGATCATATGTGGCACAAATGAAAAGATAAGATATGGAATTGTGTGTTTGTATATTTTTTAGATGTCAGTGACCTAGTTATAAAGTAGATTTTTGTGTTATATGTATATAAATATAATGTTGGTACTGAAAAAATAGGTTTTCTTTAAATTTGTGCAAAATATAATTAAAATTAAAGACATTACAAACACAGACAGTTATGTTTATGTGTAGATTGTTTATGCTAATTAAGTTATCAATCTGTTTTATATTGACATCTTATATATTGTCCAATATTTACCAGGCATGAATGCAGAAGAGCAACAAAAGATGGGAGAAAGGGTGGCTTATTATCAGCTTGCTATTGATAAACTGGCTGAGGCACGCAAACTTGCAAAGTACATTGAACCAGTTCAAGTCACTCAGGAAGCATTGACCTTCACCAATGATGTTGTTGAGGGAAAGAGAAAGGCTGCCAAAAATGAGAATGAGTTTATTTACCACGAGGAAGTGCCGGATAAGGACATGCTCATTGATTTGAAGCCTGCTTGTCTTGTAAAAGCATATCCAATAAACTTTAATGATCCTGAGGTTTGTTATGATTTAATCAAGGTATGGTTTATTTGTTTGTGATATAGTTGTATACTTCACCATACATTTATGTATCCAGATATCAGGTCCTGATATTTTCTCCCGGTTAGTTCCGATGGGGGCACACGAAGCTGCATCAATGTACTCTGAGGAAAAAGCTAAGTTGCTTCGACATGTTGTGGGTCAAATAGAAACTAAGAACACTGAGCTAACAGAGTTTATGTCATCCCTTCAACTTGATCAGCTGGAAGTTCTTGATTCTGACCAGAAGTATGTAATAAAATCGCAATTTTTTATCTTTTTCGGTTTGCTTGTACTTTTTTATTTTAGTGTGGAAGTTTAATGGACTTATCAGGTGGGCAAACTGACTGTTGGTACATCTTTATATGGTTTTATGGTTTATTTTATATTTTAACTAATTTCTTTTCTATAGTGACTTGACTATGACACAATGCTAACCAGAATAAACATTGTGAGGATCTAATTTGAACTCTGTGGATACATTCTACACTTTGAGATAAAGTTATCTTACAGTGTTTTCTTTTCTAGAAAAAAGTTGTCTGCCTTAAATGTAGTGATAGAGGTAGATATCTTTTTATCATATTTATTGGGGAACGGAAAAAAATATTTTATATTTTAGCTTTATAATTGTAATGATTTACATACCTTGATCTTGATCTTATAGTTTAAGTTATTTTATAGATTATAAATTCCTTACTATGCAGAATACCTCAAGAAATAGTAGACAGATGTGCAGCAATGAATGCCAAGACAGAGATCATTCAATCCCTGGTTGACTCCATGAATAACCTGGCTGAAGTAATCAGCGACGTTGAACATTCCCTCACAGAGATCAAGGCCCTTATTCAGGTGACAAATAAATCACTAATTCTGTACAAATTAATTATTTGTTTATAACTGGGCTTAAATTTAATAATATATTAGAAAAAAAAATCAAATATAAAAAATCTCAGTATTAATATTTGACATTTTTTATTGGTTACAAATGCCAGTTCCTGTGACACAGCAGAAGACAATATTATAACCTGACTCTTAGAATTTGTTTTATTTTTGATTTTGATTAGTTAGGTAAGTGAGTTAATCTGGGTCCGCTATTTTTAAAGGTTGGCCACGGATCTTCAACTCCTCAGGTTTTGTGGGTGTCCATGGGTGGTGGTGACCACTTATTATCAAGCGAACCTCCTGTTCTCTTCACAAATTTTGTCATAAAAAAAATATATGCTAGCTGTAGCTGCTGATTATGCCCTCAACAGCTGGAACTAGTATGCACAATTTAAAAAAAATATTTCAGGAGGAGACACTAAAAGAGAAGGAGTACCAAAAGCTTATGGGGCCACGGCCGCCGTCCATCGTGCAAACGGAAATATCCCGAGAGTACCACAAGTACCAGGAGGCCCACACGAGGACCAACGAGAGCAACCAGGTGCTGCACAAAGCGATGACGCTGCACATCGCCAATCTGAAGCTCCTATCGCAGCCCTTGGAAACGCTTCAGGCTAAGATACCCAGCATTGAGAATATCGGTGAGCGGTGTTGAAATTAAATTAATTATTACATTTTGTGGAGTGGTTTATAGTAACAATCTATACCTATAATTATGACTATTTTGGCGCCAAGAACTAACCCGTTATTTCATCGTGTTCTGATTGAATTTATTCGGAGTAATTATTACAACGATGTCTTGGTTGCAGTTTTTATTCTGTCATTGGAGTTATTTATTTTAAGTTTTTATGGGGGCGTCGGAAAAATGGGTGGGGAATTACCCCGGCATCACTTGTACTGGAGAAACGTGTCAGGTCCTATCGCAGAGTGGGTAGATTGTCGCGCGTTGACTTGTCATCGCATGTCTCCGTCGCTCCCGCGCATATAGTGTATTGCCGTCACGCTCGCACAGACGCGATGACAGGTCAATGGACGAGCTTCTTTCCGAGAGCGGAGCGTACACGAGGACGCGATTGTGCACAGAGGGATATCCATAGCACCGCATGTCCGCTTGCACATTATTCATGTGTAAAAAAAAAACTAGCCAAGTGTGAGTCAGATTCGCGCACGAAGGGTTCCGTAACATAATCTTCAAAAACGGCAAAAAATTTATGTTCAGTGTATGGGAGCCCCGTTTAAATATTTTTTTATTACGTTTTTTAGTATTTGTTTGTAAAGCGGCAACAGGAATACAACATCTGTGAAAATTCTCAACTGTCTATCTATTGTGGTTCATGAGATACAGCTTGGTGACTGACGGACAGGCAGACAAAAAGCGGAGTTTTAGTGATAGGGTCCCGTTTTACCTTTTGGGCACGGAGCTCTAGAAAGTCTGTCATCGCCCGTGTCCGTTTCCCCGCTCGTATAGTGCATTGTCCTCACGCTCGCACAGTCGCGATGACAGATCAACGGGCGCATCCGCAGGGGGACATCAGGTGGACCGCCTGTTCGCTTGCCAATTATTATTCTTTGACTTGTCATCCTGTCTCCGTTGCTCCCGCGCGTGTAGTGTATTGCCGTCACGCTCGCACAGACGCGTAGACAGGTCAACGGCCACGAAGGCGCGTTCGTCCGCAGAGGGCCTGGACCGCGACACGATGGCGGAGATGCGGCGCGTGGTGGGCAAGGCGCGCGAGATGCAGACGCAGCGGGAGGCGCTGCTGCTCGAGCTGAGGGCGGCGCTGGGCGCGGACGACGTGACCGCCCAGCTGCTGGCGCGCGCCTCCGACCCGCCCGAGGACATCTTCCGCCAGGAGATCGAGAAGCACACGCCCAAGGTCGGTGCAAGGTCGTGTCCGACCGGCAGTGTGGCCGAGGTGGGCTGTTGCCAGCCCCGTGACGTCAGCAGTGTGGCTCAACGGGCCTGGACTAGTGTCGATAGTGTATCCAAGGTCGTGTATTGCCGGCTACGTGACGTCAGCAATTTGGCCCAACGAGTCTGGACTCGTATCGACCGTGTATCCAACGTCGTGTATTGTCGGTTTCGTGACGTCAGCAATTTTGCCCAACGAGTCTGGACACCTATTATATTATATATATATTATATTAACCAGTACAACGATTGTCCCACTTCTCCACGGCGTGAAAACACATTACTGAACACGTGGTTATCAAGAAGAATTTATTGAAATCTATCCAGTAGCTTCTCTGTGATGCGCGCACAACGGCAGAGCCCTATTATTATTTTATATTGATATAAGATAGATGTTGCAATATTATTAGCGTGAATGTGGGTGTTATTAGAGTTACACGTATGATTTTTACGGTAACTAATTAGTGTAGTCATTAGTGGTATTTCGCTAGGTTTTTTACTAACTCCCGAGCGTAAAATCTTCTTAGGAAAATAACAATATGTTCCGCAAAAGTTATCTGTGGTGCATACAGACTTTTGTCCCACCCGACGCCGTAGTCTCAGCTTAGCAACTGTGCCGAGTCGTCTATTGAATAAATCCTCTTATTACAAAGACATTCGAAACTCAATCATAAAGTAAGGCTCATTAATTTGGGCTGAATTTGTGCGTGGTCTATATAACTGGTCGGCTTTGGGAGTTTCATTTGTTACGTTTATTATAGACGATTGACATAGTGCGTGAAACAAAATGGTTCGATCAAAGGAAAAGGAAACTCTACATTGTCGACACAGGTGAAGATAATCGAGCAGAACCTGGCCGCGCAGGAGAACATAATCAACAAGCTGACTTCGCTCTACGCCGCGTACGGAGATTCGAGGCGGCTGCTCTCCGACGTGCTGCGGAAACGGGACGCGCTCATAAATGGCGAGTGTTTCCAAGGGAATCATACTAAAGCACACCTCCTCCTCCCCCTTCCACCTTCAGCGCGCTAAAATTACCTAACATATGCTCACGCCCTGTAATAAACAGCTCCGAAAGGAAGACTACAATAGATCAACTAGGCCGCAGTGGTCGTTGGGACTTATACAGGGTGATTTTTTAGCTGAAATATATCTGACATATTATTTATTGAGCATTCCATAATTCAAAAATAATATATTTTATTTTGACAAGAAATAACCAGAAAAATATCAATTCAAACATTGTTTCTTTATTCCGTTAAGAGTGGTCACCCTATTGATAAGCGGCTTAGTAATTATGCGTTCAGCGAAAAGTTTTAGTGCTCGTGAGGTTAAAGGTTATTATATTGAGATGGTAAGGCAGGAATTTCTAATAGGGTTGTCCATAATGATTGAAAAGCACGCAAATCGTAATCATCATTACGCGTGCATACTAATCTTGAGCTGGATACATTTGCAGCGCTAGTGACGTCGTACGATGCTTACGAAGAGCTGCTGGGCAAGGCGCAGAAGGGGCTGGAGTTCTACAAGAAGCTGTCGCACAACGTGGGTCAGCTGCTGACGCGGCTGCGCGGCACCTGCCAGGTGCAGCAGGAGGAGCGCGCGCAGATGCTGGCGAAGCAGCCGGCGAGGCAGGCGCAAGGTGCGGCTAGCCTCTAAGCTGCAAGATATCATAGACCAGACTTTTACAGTTATAGGGCCGCGGCTAGCCTCTAAGCTGCAAGGTATGATAGACCAGACTTTTACAGTGGTAGGGCCGCGGCTAGCCTCTAAGCTGCAAGGTATGATAGACCACACTTTTACAGTGGTCGGGCCGCGGCTAGCCTCTAAGCTGCAAGGTATTATAGACCAGACTTTTACAGTGGTGGGGCCGCGGCTAGCCTCTAAGCTGCAAGATATGATAGACCAGACTTTTACAGTGGTGGGGCCGCGGCTAGCCTCTAAGCTGCAAGATATGATAGACCAGAATTTTACAGTGGTAGTGCCACGCTACGGTTTTCGCTGTTGCACGAACGGGCAGGTCCGTCGTCCGTAAGTACCAAGACCGCGTAGAAGACCGGCGCGAAATGGAAGTGTTATACTTCTGCCTGTCGTCTGATGAGTGAGGTAGCCGACTTTATTAAAAGGTGGCAACGCCTCTTCAACCTTACGGGTGTTGCAAATGTCAATGGGCGGCGGTTATCACTTAATACCAGGTGAACCGCCTGCTCACTTGCCACCTTTTCACATACAAAAAGTGATGACATTAGTTTAAAAAAAAACTGTTCCGTTCACTAGCTAAACTTAACTGGGGCGTTAGGCTAATCTGATCGCTGAAAAAACATGGGACTGTTCTCAATTTCCAAATTGATTGAAATTTTTAATGTTGGATAAAAGTTTCTATTAAAAATTTCACACGAAAACTCACCCTACTTTTATTTTAATACTTAGCTGCCCCATCGCCGCCGGTGGGCGTGTCTAAAGGTGAAATTCCGGGCGCCATGTCCACTTCCACTCCCACGCCCACGCCCATGCCCACTCCCACGGCGACGGCTACGCCCACGCCCAAGCTGAAGGACTACCTGCCCTACATGAAGAGCCGCAGCCTCGCCAGGCCGTACACTCCCCAAGGTATGAAACAAGATGTGAACGAAGGACCGAAATGAATGAAAAAACCGTGGTATCAATTAATACGACATAAGCGGAAATTAAAAATAGGATAAATAGTTTTATGGGAGATGCATTTTAATAACAAAAAATATATATTTGGTTGATAACATTTCATGGCGTACATTAATTAGTCATGTTGTGTACTTCAAAATACTAATAACATATCCATAACTGTAACTTAGCGCTCTCAAAACGCAGAACGCGGTCGCATCAGGCGATATTGCCATAATAATAGAAATAAAATAGTAGTTAAACTTTTTGCTTCAGAGATTACTCTGGTTGCGTTTTAATATGTATTTATCGCACATTAACATGATTTTGTTTTAGCGCAAGTTGATCCAATGCCGCCAGATAATTATTACCCAGAAACAATATACCCGACTTCAGCAAGGCCCGCACCAGTGGGGTCCGAAGGTACGATACAGTTATATTAAAAAAATAGAAAAGGTCTTTAGCAAAATTTCATATTAACAATCTGAGTTTTTAAGTTACTTATTTATTTATGAATTTAGTTGACGAATATTGTGAAAATGCAATTTTAACCCGCCTAAAGGAGAGTGACATACGTTTCTAAAGTCTCATTAATAGCCATATGTTATAATAAAAATAACATAAGCTATATTACAATCGCTATTTTTCAGCTACCGATTTGAGTCAGATGAGCATGCCGGACGGCGTTGTGTTGCCGCCCGCTACGAGCCGCTACGGGGCGCCGTACGCGCCCGAAATCGACCCCTACGCCGCCCAAACGAGCTACGCCTACGCCGTAGCCGGCAAGGACTTCGGGAAAGCGGGCGAGGACGCGGCCACCTACGGCTACACGCCGTACACGCCGTCGCAGTTCGCCAGCCAGATGGTCGACCCGCAGACCTACACCAACCCGTACTACTCGGCGACGCAGAACAACACGACCATCGTGACCGACTCGCAGGGCTCGGTGCCGTACAACGCCGCGCCCGGCGCGCAGTCCCACCCGCACGGCCCCATACCCGACGCCATGTCGATGTACGGCGCCGCCAGCCAGACGGACCTGAGCGGCAACTTCGCCCAGATGCAGCTCGCCGCGCCGAAGCCCGAAACTGCCGGCCGATTCGGCACCGAGTACTCGCAGACGTACTACAGCATGCAGTACCCGCACATGCCCGCCGCCAACATGGCCACGTACAGCAGCGCCGGCCGGGACTCCCAGACGAGCATCGTCTCCTCGCAGCTGCCCTCGGACTACAGCCTCAACTACTCCTACGGCGAAGCGGCCGCTCAGTACGCACCGAACGTGCCCGACTCGTACAGCGCACCGTACCAATACGGCGGACGAGACGGGACGCCGCAGGGCTGCGCGTACACCGGCCCCGCCTCCGCCGCTAACGTGGACAACGCGCCGGCGGGTGCCAGCCCTTACGGGGCCCCCGAAATGGGGCCGGAGTACGCCCACTCGATGTCGCAGCTGGACGCGTTGGACATGCCGATCAAGTCGCACGTGACCGGCGAGGCGCTCACCCCTCACGTGCAGACGAGCTACCAGAACTTCGCCGCCACGAGCGGCCCCAACGAAACCAGCTACCAGCCGGCGCCTGCCTACTACCAGGAGCAGACGCCTAACTACGCGCAGAGCTATCAGAGCCACCCCGGCTACACGTACGACGGGTCGACCGGCAACTACGACTACAACTACGGCTCGCAGAGCTCGTATCCCAGCTACGGGGGAGAGCAGCCGACTTTGGACCCTCAGGCGGCGGCGAACGGGCCAAATTGGAACGCGCAGCCGGTGTACACTAACGCCGGCGGCTGCGATTCGGCACAGTCGCCACCCGAGGCGCCCGCACTGCAGACGCAACCGAGCCAGCCCGTCGACAACACCTACTACGGCCAGCAGTACGGATACCAGAACAGCCAAATCGCTCCCGGCCAGCAGAACGCGCCCGTCCAACAGAACATTCCAGAAACCCGAGAGACGAACCAGTCCGCGTACATTCAGCCCGCCCAAGTGCCTGCAACCAACGTCACGTACACAAACGACCAAGGTAAGAGCACGTAGCCCGATCCCACTAAGAGGACAGTCGCCGCTCGAAAACGGATCCCACTGTACCCGTACCCGATAAGCGGTGTCATAAATAAATGCTTTACGAAAACACAACACGCATTTCATTTTGTACGTTGCACGCATTTCCGTTTCTAGTGTCGGCCGACGGACGCGCGGCGGTCGACGGCAACGTCGCGGCGGAAGTCGTCGGCGCGGCGGCGGAAGCGGAAACTAAGGTGGAGCCGGAGCCGGAACCGTCGACGCTGGACCTGCTTTGCGATATCGACTTCAGCGTCGACTACACGCCGCTGACGCCCGAGATAAAGGTGCCGCAGGTGTCAGAGAAGGTCGTCATCAAACCGAGAATGCCCAGGCCCGAAGTGGTCAGCAAGCCCCCGCAGGAAGAGGTCATCGAGAGGCCGGCGAAACGGGACATCTTCTCCGATCCCGGTCTTTTGAACAAGTTCACTCAGGAGGTGAAGATGCTGCAGACGGTGACCGATTCGCTTACGAACCCGACCGCCGGCGGTCTGACCCTATTGGATTCCAAATGGAAGATGCTTCAAGATGTCCAAGTGAGTTGGGTTTTAGCGTAGATGATTAATGGCCGGTTTCATTATACTGTCTACATATACAGCGTGTATAACATCGCGACAAAATGAACTTTACGTTACAGTTTTATACGTAAGGGTGTTCTAAAATTGTTTGTTTTGGAAAATTGAATAACTCGATATAAATTGATGTTTAAAGAATGTAGATGTTAAATACAATTTTAAAAAGTTATCCTCTATATGTGTGTTCATTTATTGTCGCGGTGGTAACGACACGCTCTATATGGTTACTGGAAACACAAGTATAATGGTGCTAATTTCAAAACACAATATCGTTAGTAACCAAATCTATCTGTAGATAGAATATTGTAACCGGTCGTTAAGCGGCTTTTTCCAAAATCAGCTATTACAGATTCGTGTAAGACCAAAGTTGGTGTAATGGTTTATGTACCTTGCTGCTATTTGGTCAAAAGTATGATCTTCTTGATAAGAGGAGTTTCTGTTTATACACAAATGGCAGCTCATCATTGTTAAATACCAAGACCTCACAGAAGACCGGCGTAAATTGGATGTATTATACTTTCAAGTTTCGTTCGGTGAGTGAGATGACCGGGGCCCGTTTTAATAAATGGTTGCCAACGCAACTGCAACCCATCTGGTCTTGTAGATGATCAGCGGTAATCACTTAACATCAGGTGAAACATTTCACATAAAAAATCCCTCTACAAAATTCGCCTCCCCTGTTTTGGTCGGCGATCCCGGCAAGACGAGGAAGTTATAAGATTTTAATTTTCTTTAAACCGTTTAAAATAATTCGATAATGAATACACAAAGTAATAGTGTTCTTGGATCTCATGAAAGAGGAATCTTCACCACTTCGCTATTGTCGTTATTCAAGAATTGACACAGAATAACGTTTTCAGCTGAAGGAGAACATGAGTAGAAGTAAGACAGTCGCAATGCAACATTCCGAGGGCAATATAGCTTCAATGGTCGCGCCTTTCGACGACTCTAGGGTCGTCCTCAAATCTGACCCTGACGCCTACATCAATGCCTCGTTCTATAAGGTACTCTAACGAAGATTATGTTGGCTTTTGTTGCCAAATCATCGAACTCTGGTAAAGTAGAAGTATTTAAACCTTTGTTTCTTCTGGTTGAGCTTCTTTTTTGAAGTCGATTGAAACAAGGACATTCATTTATCATGACTCCACGCCGTAATACTATTTATTCGATTTTTGTTTAACAATGTTCGGAGTTACGCAACCGAACAGCGACATTGTCACTTTGTGCATCATAGGCACATTACACTAACGTACATGTACGTTTCATGCCTACTTTGAGGCAGTACGCGACTCGCCACCGTCTAACCATAACCATACCACTTATTTATACCGCGTATTCTTTATACCATTTTATACCATATAAGTGCTAATAAACCATTTACCAGAATATTTATAAACTCTCTCCCTGTACAACCTTCTTCTTCATGGTCCTTCGAGTTAGACCTTCGGTTCGCGAGTGACTAAACCATCAGTTTTTCGTGAAATTAACGCTATTGTATGTTGTGACTTTTAAATGAGTTTTTATCTTTTAGCAACTAGCCCCCTGGTGCATACCGCTGATGCTTTCCAAGTGTCCGACGGAAAACGAATACGGAACATTCTGGAAGGCTATCTCGGAGTATAAGATCAGTTGTGTCGTCTGTTTGCTGAGTGAAATGGAGGTGAGACAATTTCCCGAGTGATAGATGATAATAACTACACCTGCTATAATTTACGCACCAAAATGAAATGTGCTGTTCCTACATAAACGAGAAATGTTTTATTGTGTGTGTTTTCCACTATACATCGCGACGTTAGCTAAAGTTTTTATATAGCTAAAACAGTTTTTATTATGAAGAAAAGGAAACTATTGCGTATTAAGCACTTTAGATATCATTATGAATATCGGAATCGAATAACCTTCTGTTATAGATGCAAGGCAAGTCCTACTGGCCGACCGCGAAGGGACAATCCCTGGAGCTTCCAGGCGTGAAAGTGAGCCTGGACGATGTCATCTGCACCGTACATTGGACGGAGAGGAAGTTAACGGTCACCAGCGGAAAGACGGTCCTCAGCGTCACCCACTACCAGATCAATGTGTTTCCATCAAAGTAAGCTCCGTATTTCGGTATTGTTTGTTGTCATAGAAAGGTAATTGGTAGGACTCAAATAGTAAATTAGTTAATATTGTCTATTACAATTTCGTATCCAAGCCTCGTATTGGCCATCGCAGTGTGGGACTGACACGGGCTTCAATGATGATGATGATGGGTATGCTCACAATTTTATTGGTGGTGCAAACCGGCGTAAATCGAGACGGCATTGCTCCTACTAGATACCGTTTCTGATAGAAATACGTTCTTCTACTATTCTCTACTATGTATACTACTCCAGGACTCATAGTAAACACTCAATTTGAATGCGTTTTCCACTAGAAAGTTGGTTTTTACAGTTCCTCCCACTACACACAATTGTAAAACTGTCTGTATCTAAAATACCTATGTTCGCAGAAGCGAAGTTTATTTACCCGTTTAGTTTATTTACTACTATTGTGGTGAGGTCAGGTGGCTGTGGCTTTTGCTGATACATAAAAGTTTAGTGGGAGGGGGAGGGATGGGAACTTCACACGGAATTTCATTAATAAAGGTTGGCAACGCCCTTGCAACTTCTGTTGGTATAGGTCAAGTGTCGATTAATTGAGTATTCTTGTTGGTTTCAGTTCCATTTTTACGTCATCTAACGCTGCGTAGAGAACATCTTGGTCCATTTTAATTGTATTTATTTCATCATCATCATCATCGTTATCATCGGCCCACTGCTGGGCATAGGCCTCCTCTCTCCTGCGCATGTCCCTGTCCTGAGCGGATCGCATCCTTTTTTTTCCTGCGATCATTTGGATGTCCACCTGTCCGATGGCTCGACCACCCAGTACCCGTAGTGTAGTTATTTACTTTTAGTGTGTATTGCATTTCGTTATGTACCAAATGATTGTTTCCTCATTTCCTTATTCGTCCGGCCTGTCCAATCGAGTGCTCCGTGCGCCAGGATCGCGTGCTCGCCGCTGGTGCTGCTCTGCGACCGTGTGCTCGGCTGCACGTTCAGCGGCCGACTGAGCAACCAGCTGGGGGGCGCGTGCGTGCAGTGCGCCGCCGGCGGGGGGAGGGGGGCGCTGCTCGCGCTTCTACTGGCCGCCATGTGCGAGGCGCGCGCCGGTGACGTCACGCTGTGCGGTGAGTGGATTTACCGATCCGGTACCGTGCACTCGGTACGGTACGGGACACGTGCTGCGATCAGGCTGTTGTGGTACGCCGTTCCCGTGCCGAGACATCGGACTATCTAGGCGTGGGGTGCCACAGGGGTTGGCAAAGTGTCGTGTGTTGTGGCGTTCACTGTTGAACAAAGGGTACGTCTTCCTAATCATGATAACAGTAGGCGATTGGCACTTTGTCAGTCGTTCACTTGTACAGTGACGTATGTAATAAAGGTAATTGGACCATATCTCCAAAGATATAAAGATATACTATAAAATGAAGGGTTACCGATATATTAGTGAGCTCTTCGACAGAGATATTTATCGTTTTTGTCACTCACTCGCGAGCTACAGAACTATGGTATATTATATTGCCAACCAACCGCCCGCCCAATATAATATACCGTACAAATTCAATGTAGTGAGTTAACCTGCTATGCTTACGCGTAGATATCGTAAATTGTACGTTTATACATAGTGGGTGAAAGAAAAAAATTGTGACGAAACTGATATTTACGAAATTATAACAAAAAAAATATTTCGAAGATATTTGAAGTCTGCTAATCCATGGTGTAGTTGCGTGCTGGACTATACTCTAATTCTGTCTGTACGGGAGGAGACGATTGCCCAGCAGTGGGACATATAGGGACATATTTTAAGGTTTCTAATTAAGTGCAGAGATTAGCACTATAAAAACTTACATAATGTTTGTTGCTGTAACGGGCATAAAAGGTGCGCCTAGCATTACTTAATATGCAAAAAAAAAACAATGTAGATAGAACACGTTGAAATTTTTGGCGGTGTGGCGATGACCCGTTTAGCTCAATGGTTAAAGCGTCTGGGCGCGATTCCACAAGACGTGGGATTCCTAAATCTTACTTTATTCTACAAATTTCAATAATATGCTGTTACTTTTTTTATTTATTATCTTCATTTATATTTAGCTACGCTCGAAGCGGCGTGCATAAATCTATACAAGCACAGAACCAACGTGCTAGAAGATACAAAATACCTCGCGGACGCCTACAGGAGCGTCCTATTCTACGCGCAGGGCGTTCTTTGTTCCGGTGAGTTTTCAACAAGTACCGTAATAAAGTTTTCTAGTTTTTCCGATAGGTAAGGGTAAAGGTCATTTTTAAATGTGAGCCTACACCTATTTGAGATAACCGGCCAAGTGTGTGTCGGACTCGAACACGAAGGGTTCCGTACCGTTATCTATAAAAACGGCTGTGGGATCCTTAGCTAAAATGAAATAAGTAGTGGACTAAATAATATGTATTAAAATAATCATATCTGTTGTATGGGAGCCCCACTTAAATATTTTTTATTCTGCCTTTTAGTATTTTTTTGCTATAGCGGCAATATAAATAGAAAGTTTCAATTGTCTAACTATCACTGTTCATGATATACAGACGGACAGACAGCGAAGTCTTGTTAATAGGGTCCCGTTTTACACTTTTGGTACGGAACCTTAAAAATGAAACAACAGGCATCAAACTAAACCTTCGTACATATTCCTTAATGTATCCAATTTCAGCAACATTTTGTTTTCAGTCATCACCTAATCATTTTAAAATTTACTACAACTGTGTGGGAATCGGACCCATGACCCCCGGGGCAGTAGCTAGTGGCTTAGCAACTGCGCAACCTACTATAGTCTACTCACTATATGCCCTCTTCCAAGCCTTTGCAAGGATTGTATGTAAAACGCTTGGATGAAAGGAGTCATTAGTGTGCAATACAGACATACTGACACTTTTTGTCTCGCGTTATCTTGGCAGCACAGGCGCACACATATGAACAATGCTTAGTAGACGAGAGTCAGGATGGCACTAAGCATGGCACAAAGAGACCTATACTAGAGAATAAAATACTGTGTAATGTGTTCTATCTAATACTCTCGCCCACATAATCCTAGATATTTATGTTTGTCCCTTTGTTGTGATCTTATCGTTTCATCGTGTTTCAAATCACAACGATTGTAAAGACGTTTCCAACCTTCAAAAACCCAAAACAATGTGACAAATGTACAGTGCTCTGTCTTGAGTAAATGTTATTGCCGATACCAGTATACAAATAACATAAATAAACATGTTTGTATCCGTAACTTGTTTTTTTGCTTTTATACATTCTTAAGTTAATGGCAGCTTCGCTCATTAGCAGGTGGTGTTCAATATTACTCGATAATGACTTGCAGCTGTGCTGAACGATGTATTTTAATGAAAAAACCGAAATGCGTCATTATTAGACGGATAGAGTTTCGCGTTTTTAAATAAATAAATAAATAAATACGCATCTATTAGTGCGAAAACGCGACAGGTTGCTATTAACAAATACGAGTCAAATATCTATCCGACCTAAATATCCAGGAAATGGCGTTGGAAAATGGAAATGAAATTCGTGTGTCATTTAGGTTCGAATCTGTGACCAATAACGGATGCCAGCGTTCCCTTCCACTGCGTCACAACTGCCTCAGAACAATACTAGCGAATATCTGACGTCGTATGAATAAAATTGTTTTAGAAAGTTGATTGAGAAATCTTTATAAACACTGCATTTCTACAAATTGTAATACGATATTTATACGACACAAATTACTATTACTTTTTCTCGATTCTGTTATCTAATAGCCTTACTAATGCAAACAGAACAAGTGTATAGATATTGCATTTTATTAATGCTACGTAATTTATACTGCATTTATGCAATGAACTAAATTAATTAAATTTACACGGAATAGATAAGATTTCCGTGGCTCTGTGTTTCTATTTCTTACTTTACACATAAATGAGAAAAATTATCGCTATCTCATGGAGGTATGTTAGTATTTATACAATAATAGACTTGGTTAGCGGCCTTAGGATGATCCGATGAGTTGATTTTAATCATGATTTGTTTATTAGTTAACGTTTGTTATGATCGGAAATTATATTTGGTGCAAATACTGAGGCGCGTGTTAATAACTGTAGCTGTTAGCATTATATCCATCGTGAGTACCACGGGCTTCATATGATACCGTTTCCACCGCATCAAGATTCGTTGCGTAGTTTTGAAAATCTAAGCATACGTAGGGATAGACAGACGGCAGGATAACTTTGTTTTATACTATGTAGTGATACTTCTTATTCTCTTTTCGAATTTAAAAACTATGTCGAAGGCCTGTCAGCTTCAAGACTTAAGCTTGTGACACATAAGCGGACGGTTGTCCTTATTAATAACCATCTTGTCTTATAACGGTATAATACAATGATAATGTTTTTTATATAGTACCAAATTTAAATGTAAACTCGGCAAAAATGTTATAAAGACCACGTAATTACGATGCCGATTTTCTTCAACTTGAAGATTTTATTTTAAGAAGAAAAGAGAGATGATTTTCTTCAACTTCAAACTTCTTAAACTTGAAGTAACTCATAATCAGTAAGCTTCATTGGGACAACATTTTCATTATTTAATGAACATCACTGTCTAAAGACATAGTGTAGGCTTTCGTTATACCAGTACGTCAACCATGTTCCAACGGAGGATTGCTGTCCTGTGACGTAACTGACCCCTCTCCCGCATCAAAAGTGTTCGCTAACACTACTTACTAACACGTAATTGTACATCCGATCAGGTACTACCATGTTCAACGGGGAAGCGGTGACGGTGGCGAGCGGCGCGGGCGTTTTGCCGCGGGCGGTGACCCCCGCTACCGCGCCCGCCCCCGCCTCCGCGCCCGCTCCCGCCCCCGCCTCCGCCTCCGCGACCCGCGTGCAGAAGTTCACCCGCGAATCGTTCGAGGAGATGCGCCAGTCCCCGGGCCTGAAGAGCGGCGACATGAAGGACCCCCTCAACTTCCTCGACCCCCTCTGGAGCCTCAAGAAGAAGTGACTGGAGCGAATTCATCGTGCGAACCAACCTATGTAGATGTACTAAGTTCATAGTAGAAACTCGAAATATTTTAGTTCAATCTAGACCTGTTCCAACCGATGCATATAACTTCAGGAGCTGTTCATCGAAAATTCACAAGAAACTCTGCCGACGTTTTTTTTTCTTTCATGTTGAACGTGACAAAATCCATTTTTCATTAATGGCTTGAGAAATAAATTGTAAACACGTATACATCGCTGTCAGGCTACATTTTAATGTGGTATAAGTGCCTTTGCAGCGAAATTGTAATTTTTTTTTGGGAAGTTAATTTTTTGACGTGCAATAGTTTCTCTTATTTAACCTCACTGACATGTCTTACTATAGTTTAATTTTGTTTTACTTGCTTAATCCATTTTATCGTAAATTATTTTATACGCATCATAAACAAGCAGCGGATTCAAGAAAAATATATAAATTCTATGGAACTGAGAGACTGCGGTTTGAAGATTAGGTATCATTAAATAAGTATTTGAAAGGTTAATCGCTTAATCGCTGTATTACGTAGAGACCATTAATTTTAAAACGGAAATAAATAAAAATAAAAATGGTATTATTACTTAACCACTAATTAGCAAATTCAATATGAAATTTACTATGATTTTTTTTTTAGTGTTTAATTTTATTGTCGTTAAATAAACGGAAATTTTAAACACAGTAAATAAAAAATTAAAAGGATTTTAGGATAACGAATGTTTTTCAAACATTTCGAAGCATATGAACAAATACGGTAAGTTGGTTAATTGGCAGATCATTGAATGTTTTACAGTTTGACTACCAAGCTGTTATAATAAGTAAGTTATTTGAAATATTCTAAACTATTATTCACTAATAAATTTCAACTTGCACTGAAATCATGTGTACTGACTTGAATGCCAAACTAATGTCTGATGTATTATAAAAAATGAAAGTTGAAACAAAGTATAGACAAAAACTTTTTAAATTCGGACCTCGCCTAATTAACCGAGTCGGCTGTAATAAAATTGATTATTAAATATGAGCGATAGATGTTTTATTTTTAGTTATTTATCGGAAGTTAACAATTGTTACTTAAGGGAAAAAGGAACGAAACGGTTCGTCCGATGAAGATAATACCAATAAAATTTCCTTGCCAATTATTGATTAGTATTGTTCACTTGACGATACAAATTTTGGATAGAAAATACGGAAAAATCGTTAAGCTTACAGCAAGGGAACGATTTACCAGCGTTTATTTTTCCTCAAGGGTAAGAAACACGGGTTGATTGCTAGTTTTCGAGTAGTAGTCTTGCCCCAAAAACACTGACTAGAGCAAAGATTATCGTGTTAGTTATAGTTCGATTTCTGCATTTTATTTTTTCCGTTAATTACTATATCATACTTAAAAAAAAAACATGTTTGTAAATTTTACGTTATATAAGTCACGTTTGCAGTTACTAGAAACCAAGGTTTTTTTAAACGTGTTTTATTTATTTCCTCTTTGTTCCAATTCACAAACAGGTGTTCAATATTCATTAATTCAATGCAACGTTCATCATTTCCATATAATGTGTTTTTTTATACACTAACATTGACAAATTAAAAAAAACGTTATAAAACAAAGAATTCTTTTAATGCTTGGCGTGTACAATTTTAAAATCTTCAGTTTCAGTTGATATACCATGAAAAACGATTAACGATAAAACTCATAATTTCATCCGTAACATAAACGCGATTACCGTGTCGATTTTCGTCATGTGACGTCTATATACTACTGGATACTCTACAGACAAATCTGGTTCAAACGTTAACGAGTTACGTCGTTTTTCGGAGTAGATCTTCAGTAGGTACATCGAGCAGAAATATCTTTCTTTACAGTGCCTATTTTTTTTTTTTCAAATCATATGTTTCGACATGCATAAACTTGCATTGTACGCCAATCGAACAAGTACGTTATAAAACTTAATAAAGTGTGTTAACAATGTTCGGTAACGGTACCCTTACGATGTTTTCCTTTCCTTTCCAATCTGGTGGCTTATGAATGGCTCAAACTAGAGATGTTCACCGGTGCTCTGTGTTGCCTGTTCACGACCTCGAATACTGTACATTATTGCAATTGTAGCTATGTTCACATGTAACGAACTACATTTGTAAACATTCCCGTGTTTATTGTGGATTTAATTGCAAATTACTAAGTGAGATGTAATATTTATCGCCATTTAATCGTACTTTAGGTTGGAAGTATAAATATGTAGTTTATTATTAAAGCGTATTGTGGCGTGGTATTATTAAAACGTTATGTAACTCGTAGCAATAACGCTAAACGATATCCAATGGAAAGATAGCGGTCCATATTATAGTATTAGATATTTTCGTTTGTAGAAGGAGCTAGAATAGAATGAACTGATTATGTTATATGTTATAATTGTTAATATTGAAGCCATAGTGCGAAATGTAAAATTTATTTGCATTTCAAAGTACTCATACAACAGTATAAAAATTCAACAAATTTTGGTATTATATAAAATTTTGAAATCGTTTAGTGTTTGAAATATATATTGATATACAGCGTTGTTATTTTGAAATTTTGTAATGACATTATTATACATTCAAATTCAATAAAGATTTAATACAGTACTTTCGTTTGATTTCCACGCTACTGTCCTCATATCGAAATGGCGTTTGCAATCGGCTTGATAAGATAACCCTTTATAAAATAGTTCAATATCAACCATTAACTTATCGGACAGACTTGAACGATGATTGCCGTTGTGCAATTTTAATTTTTTTTAGTGTGAGGATGTGTTATTACGTGTGTATGAAAGTGTCGTGCGAAACTATTTTCCTCATTAAATCTCTTAACGCGCCATTCAATTATCCTCTGGAGGCTCGTTTTTACTCACTGCCGGTATCGGCAATGCGGTGGTTTTCTTGTGCGGTAATGATGGAGGAAGCGATGCGGTCCGGGGTAGGGACTCTGAGCATTTCAGATGCTGCCGCGCTCTGCCTGCGCTCCGCTCCGAATCCGAACTAGTTTGGCGTTAGCCGTCGCCGTGAATGCACGTTGCGTATGTCGTTCGCTCGGGCGTCCGCGCACGCGCCCTCGCGATCTCCGCCACGCGAAACCCACCGAAACAATAATTCTCGCACCACCCACTTGCTAAACGCGAACAATCTGACAGTTGTGCGCGACGTGACGTTTCGGGGCGTCGCGATGACAGTTCCGCACACGATACACTGATGTAAACGCGAATTTCGGATACGATACGTATGATAAATTAACAGTGTTGAGTAGTATTTGACCAAATTTCCGTGCAACGATCGACCTGTGCCGCGGCTTGTGTAGTGCAATTGTTGGCATGGCTCCGATAGCCGCGGGTTAGCGCGATGATGCGCAAGGAAGGTGCCGGTGCGCCCGGGACTGAGTTCTCGCTGGACGCTTCCGACTGCATCAATCTACAGCAGATTCTGCAGGCGTTTAACTCTACAATTAGTGAGGAGCATGCCTGGGCCTTGTTTTACCAGGCGGCAAAGTGCTTCCAGAAGTGCCTAGCTGAAGGCTCCACCAGTTACCTGGCAACGGAGCCTAGGCATTTGTTGCTACATAAAGATGGATTCGTGCATCCGAATACACTGCTACGTCCCGGAGGTAAGATATAATTTAACTTGTAATCCATAATATGTTATTGATAGGAATTTGAAGCAATCTGTAAATCAGCAATATAGGTAAATATAGTTAGTAAAATTTACGTGTTCAGACAGACATGTTGCGGTATGATAAATATGCTCTACGAATACTCCCCAAATATTAGTATTATCATAATTTTATCGTTAATTCGTTACTACAGCTGTAATTTTATATTTTATTTCTTTCCAGCATTTTTATTTTTAATTTCTATGTCGGAAATAAAATAAAACTGTAATAAAAGATTATCATTACTTGCAGTTAATTTTATTTTGTTATGCGAATAATTTATAATATTCAAACTTTTATCTACATGATTATAATATACCTAACAGTTTAATATAATCTTCAGCTTGCTTTATGAACGTATTTATTGAAAGAAAACAACCATGGCCCATCTTGTTTACGATAATTTAATCGATAGTATACATTAGCAATAAGTTAATGACCTTCGACTTATCACAGTTTGATTTGACCAGTTACGCATAGAACTGCCCTCAATGATATCATCGGTTTAAAAAAGCAATATATAAATGATTACCACACTTCAGTCCACAATTATGTATATTTTTATTATTACGTTTATTCACATTGTCTATGGAAGTTTAGAGGAATAACTTTGACTTTTAATATTTACTATTCAATATCGAAGCTTTTATCTTATTTATATTAAATATTACGTTTTTATTATTTATAACTAATTTTTTGTTAATAACGCAAATAAAATATTTTGTCATAAATTTATCTTACAAATTATACGTTTATAAATTTCTTGTGTTGTTTACGCAACTATCATGTCGTCCAGGAATTCCTGGAAAACGCGTTGTGTAACCTATCTATGATTAAATAAGCTGGATGGAATGATGGCTTACTGTGTCTTTTGCATAATTAGGTATTTTAAATAACACTGATCACTGCTATACAGTTATTTTGTTGGTTGAAAAAGGGATTAAATATTAGATATATATTAAAAAATATGTAATCATTTCATTAATAGATGCAAATCTTTTACATTAATATTTTTATCTAATACACTGAAGTCACGACGTTTTCAAATAAGGCGTTTAAAACAATTAAAAATCAGATTCGCAACAGTGCTCATTTATATCTGTCCTTTGCCTAAAATTAAGTTTCATTTATGGTAAAAGTTTTCATTTGTCAGATTTAATTATACATTGTTTTGCATAAACGGAGTTTAAGGCTACTCTCGAATCTTCGACCTAATCTAAGGTCAACTTAATGATTGACATTGATACTCATTACGGTTAAGTTATCGTAAATACTGATGGAAATTCAATTTAGTCATCTCTATAAATAACGGTGCCATTTAGACGGTAAAAAAAATAATATTTTAGAGTTTATAATTTATGCACATTGAATATGTAAATAAAAACATTTTAGTGCAGCGTTGTGGCATATCTGGGGTTTGAAATCGCTTTATAATAAACGTAGGTGTGAAAATCTATTTGTGCGCGAATAGTGGCTCAGATCGGAAATTTAAACGATTAGTAGTACAGTTACAGCTGAATTTCGATGCTGAGGTCCGGGGTCTGATTCTCTTTGGATGCTTGAAGGATGACGTATGAGGATGGGAGTATAATTTATTAAACAACTAAGAAAAAAGCTTAACAGTTGTTATTTGAAGCTTGATAATTATTATACTGATTGTGTGATGTTAAAAGTGGAAACCTCCACACTCCACTAACTTGATATCGCTGTGTTTTGCAAACTGAAGAATTTATATTTTAAATATTTTAATTTAAATAAAAAACATATAAATAAGCTTTACGACTGATCAATTTAATATTATTGACTGCAAGCCACGGCAGTGTCCGCAAGTTTTCCAATCCAGTTCAGTATACTCGACCGACCTGAGGATGAATTCTGGCATCAAAGTATTTGCTAGGATTTGCAAAATATAAATAAATTAACGTACCTATAATGATAATAAAATATAATAATCATGTTGTAACCGGTTTTGGCTGTGTTTTTACCACCGGCCGCCTGCCCGACTATCAACCCTCCTTGGGAAATAAACACCCAGACCTGGAACAATTATCGGTGGGATTCGAACCTACAGCAGCAACAACCTCAGCAACATCGCCACCGAGTCAATATTATTTACAATATGCAACATAAAAACTATTTCTAATTAACGTGCCGAGGCATTCGCAAATTATAATGCAGCTGTTGCATTTTAGGACGCAATGTGTCGTAGGCTTAATATCGCATTTGCTCGCAAGTTGCTCTCTTTTTGTGTACGCGGAATGTAATGCAAGGATGGCTATCGCAACTGGTTTCCAACCGGTCTGTCTAATTGGTGAAAATAAACTGCGGTAGAAAATAAGGAGTAATTGAATCGTCTGAACCTCCAATCGCACTGTCGCAGTTTCATACATTGTAGTTTTCGACATGACATAATAGAAAGGTTGAAGAATGTAGTATAGGAGAGAATTGTTTCAACGTCCGTTAATTATCATCGAAGCATTTGTGATTATTGCGTATCATATCCTTAATGACGGTTTAATGGAGATTAGATCTCTGCGGCTGACTTTAATTCCTTGGTGAAAAGTCACGGCGGCTTTATTCTTCCGTAAGTACTTTTTATCAAGTTCGTTTGTTCGAACTTTAAAAGGAGAATTCTCTTCAATGACACGAATCGTGAACATTTTCGAAAACTCGTTGGAAATCGAAAATTGGCTTCAAATAGTTTAGTACTAATGTACTCATGGACACTAGCTCTTCCCGTTCGTCATATTATACCCATCATCACTTGCACATCCAGTATTCACTACAGGAGATATTTCGATGGTACCACCGATTTGGGATCTGATAAATGATTAAAGCTTAATCCAACCTTTACATGTTGTACGCACCTTGATATTATATTAGAACAAAAATTGATAATCGAATGAATAAATCGCTGATAGTTAAAATAGACGCTGTAAGTGTCAATCGAATCGTCGATAAGTTAAAAAATAAAATTTAATGCTTAAGTATCTAGGTATATATGTGCTTTATTCTTGACATCAACTATACATTACTTATCCGTTTAAAACAAGTGACACTGATTTGTTTTGTTATGCAATTACACAGCAGGTTGAAAGAAAACTTAAATACAATTAAGGGACAGTCCGGTGGGAGTTAGAGCGTAAATAAGTGTTGCCACAAGTCACGACCTTGTGCCGCGATTCGCCCTTAACCTACATGAGTAAAGCATCTTCAACCGCTTTAAAAAACGACGTCTACTAATATCAACACCGGAACTAGTCGTACTCTTTTCCTTGATACAAAATCTTTGCTTTGATACCGAGAGTTCCTTAAAATTATGATTTAATAGATCGGCAGATGTGAATTCTCGAGATAATGAACAAATTTATAATTGTTATAGTTGTGTGTATGTGCGTGTTAAAGTTATTTTGTATTTCGGTTGCGTGCTATGTTTATTTTGTTTAGAGAATTCACAAGCAATCAGACTTAGTGGCGTGTACAGTTCTAACACAATATATCGTATCGGGAATATTTCCTAGCGACTACGACAGAGTTTCTATGTATTTAGGCTAGCGTCTGGCACTGTTTCACTGACTCCTATTTACTAATAGTTTATGTAAACCCCACAAGTGATGTTCATACATTCATATTTCTTTTATTTTTATTTTTATAATAAACAATATTCTTCGATGATTCCTGATATTCTTTGAATGTGTTTAACATTCACTGATTTTGTACATTTTTATTATTTTAGAACTTTCAGAATTCTGATCAAGATCTGATGATGGAATTAATCATTACGAAATCTTTAAAAGTATTTTATTTACAGAGGCAACTGCACGATGAGTTAATTCTTATGAGGAGACAGTTAAGCCTCATTCTAATAGGGAAACGGTTGAGGTTAACTATAAGTTCTGACATTTTTTCGGCCATTTAGCAAAATTAACATTTCATCTTGTTGTAACGAATATTTCTAGAAATTTCCTTAGATGTTTCTCTATCAGAGGAGTTGTGAAAAAGCCACCGATTGTTACCAATGTAAGAAGTAATAGGTATTTAGAAGACTAATGTAACACGAAGTTTTATTTGATACTGCGGATTCACGAGTCTAGCGTGTGTAGTAACACTGTATTTACTCATGGAGACATATGCGCTTTGTTTATTGACAGTTGGCCTATTTCCCGTCGAATCCAGCACCTGCGGATGCGAACGGGACCACGAACTCCCGAAGCTCAATTGGTGATAAATTCGATCATCGCCTCAGCACATGCGCAATCAGCCATCATTGCGTTGTCGCGGACAATAAACAATGATTTTATTGGACGCGAGTTCGATGGAAACGTGAGCGCCATTTTGATAACTAATATGATAATAATAAATTACTTCGTGTTCTGTCGGAAAACACAGACACAGTTGATATTTTAAATGCGAAAATCTATGTTGATGTTTGTGTTTGTTCTCCCATTTGACATTGAAAATGTAAACGACGGATTAACGCACTTGATACTTGGTGCTAGAATACTTTTACAAAAATATAACTATATTATTTGTCAGAACGTAGCTAAAGTTAATAATTAAAAATAAATATTTCAGGGAATGTTTTTACACAACGTACCAAACTAAGTAAAGCTCAAAAACATAAACTAGAGAAACACTATATTCATCGCACAATATTTTTAAATGGATGCAAAGCCTCTTGCTTACAAGAATTATTTCGTAGTACGGGCGTGAAAGAGAGAGATAAATACAATGACCTTACTTCCCGATTCGTCGTCTTTCTCTTCTCGACTAATGAATACATAAGATAACAGACACGTCCGGACATCAACAGTGCGATAAGCATTGGCAAATATCTCTTGCCGCGAACAGAATAAACGGCGGTGTGTAACGCTCAAGCCGCTTTTGGTCGCGGGGGCATCGGGGTCAAGTCGAGCATAGTGCTTCATTTGAAAACCTCATTACCTTTATTACTTTCCCGCCGTAAATGCACCTAGCGAGAACAATGCTCGAGCGCGGTACAAATTTCATCTGACTGCAGCCATTAGCGACTGTGCGTTGACGTTCGGGGCTGGTGAAATACGGGCTTCGTGACGGGAAACGTAATACGAAAATAGTGCCGTTTGGACGTCCGACGTGGCATTTCTTTATATTGCTGTTCAATCAAATAGGTTATTAGAAATTTTCTTTTGTCATTGATTTAATTTGTTTTGTTATTACATTCGTACAATTTTTACACCTCTGTTTTTATCTTTTCAATGAAAAGTAGCCACCTAGTTATTTATTAACATTAATGTCATTTATTTGTATCACAATGCCACGTGACTTAGTTGTTAGTTAGATGTTTTCTCGTTTTCGGGAACTCATTAACTTCCACTGATTACAGTTCCCGCTAATTTTAACTGCGGCCTGCTAGAATGTCGATGTAGCTTTCCATATAACACGCCCATGCCATTCTTGATCGAGCCTTCGAGTGCTGCTTACGTGGCGTATAACTAACGCGCGGACGCATATGTTCGTTTTTAGGGTTACGTACCCAAAGGGTAAAACGAAACCGTTACTAAGACTCAGCTGTCTGTCCGTCCATCCGTCTGTCACCAGGCTGTATCTCATGAACCGTAATAGTTAGACAGTTGAAATTTTCACAAATGATATATTTCTGTTGCCGCTATAACAACAAATAATAAAAAATGGAATAAGAAACATTTAAGTGGGACTCCCATACAACAGAAGTGATTTTTTTTACATGAGTTTTTATATATATGATGATGGCCGGTCTTTTTATATGAGAAGGTGGCAAACGAGCTGGTGTTTCACGTGATGAAAAGTGATAGCCATCTTTTAATAAAGTGGATCCCGTGCACCTAACTCACCGGACGAAACGCAGAAGTAGAACACTTCCACTTTCCCCACACCGGTCTTTTGGAAGTTCGTGGTATTTACCCTGACGGTACCCACCTCGTACCATTCCTGTAACGACGTTGACTGTTGCGTGGTCTTACCACAGTTAAAAATGCTGGTGAAGAAAAACCTTTCGTTCTGCCGACGCACTCCATGTGCACGCGTTTTATTTTCCGTTGTACGGTCGAAGAGGCGTGATACGATTATTGTGTCGCTCGGGAATTCTATATTACTTTCGTCGCGTGGGAAACGGACCCACGCTAGCGGAAGACGGGGACCATTGAAGACGTTTTTTTGTGTTCTCCCATTGATTTTCGAAACGCTCAATTATATACAGGTTATTGTAACGGTAGCGGCTTTCGCTCGCCAATTCGAACGACCTTTGTTATAATCTTTGCCGCGTTTATTACTATGATTGTGTATTTTATAAACGGCATCATGCTTGAAAAACAAGTGCGCCCCGGTTACCCCACTCGCCAGACGAAACGCGAAAGTATTATACTTCCCCCTCACGCTTGTCTTCTGTGAGGCCGTGGTAGTTCCCCGAACGAGCCTGTCCATTCTACCTGTGCAACAGCGGAAGCGGTTGCGCGGCCCTACAACAGTAATAATTGTTCCATTGGGAGCTGTTATTAACTTTGTCTTAGGGACGGGAGTAACATAGGTATTTAAAGGAGTAACATAATTAACAAAAATATATAGTACCCAATTTTGATTTAGTACTATGCAGTCGCTAGGTAAAGTTTTATTGTCTTGTATGTTATGTGTACCGATGACTACTGTTAAGCAGCATACCAAAATATAGCCTGTACATGTCCCACTGCTGGACAAAGACCTCCTCTGTACAAAGGGTATCAGGGCATAGTCCACAACGCGGCTCCACTGCGGATTGGCGGACTTCACATATGGTTGAAATATATTTTTTTGATATATTACATCGAAAATATGCAGGTTTCCTCACAATGTTTTCCTTCACCGCGGAGCGCGTGCTGAGTCAGCAGTTAAAATTAACCATTCACCAGATCGAACTCGGGCACCAGATCAAACTCGGGTTGCTCGAGTAAATTGAATTAAACGAATGAAGTGTTCGGACACCGAGCTATCATGGCTGTTAAGCCGCATACAAAAATTTAAAACTAAAATATTGGGCGGTTTTATTTCACATCACTCGACGATAATGCGATAACGTTACCTATCTTATTAATGATTCAGTAACAGGATAATCGCTGACGTCACATCATTAACCGATCATTGGCGTCGCAAACACAACGAAGGTCGCCACGGCATGATAGCCACCTTATATTTTCACAAACGATTTTTTTCTTGTAAAATGTTTCATCATATTATCGTATGAATATATAAAATTTGTTTCGTAATATTTCTACGTAAAATACAGGGTAACTTCCTATACATGGTTATGTTAACTGTTAAGGCTATTTTTCTTTTTCCTTTCAAAAGTTTGCTCTTAATCTACGGTAACATCATCACATAGTGTAATGACGATTTATATAGACAAAGATGTGGGTGTATGTCCGAATTTTAATGTGACAAGTATCCAGATCTGGAACATTTTCTATGGGTCACATAAATATTTATCACGCGTTAGCCCAAGACTTACGGTGTCGAAGCTAATTGCTTCGTAACTACGCGAACCAAGCCATCAAGTTATATGTATCTAATATATAAAACACTCGTGTCACGGTGTTTGTAATATAAGAGTTCAAACGTTATTACTTTGAATCTAATATTTTAAGTAGGTATATTTGAACTTGAATATTTACAACTACCTATTATAACGTCAAGCAGCACTATTGGTCATATCACCGTCCTGTAACGCAGCCGAAAAGCAAGTGACCGCTGCTCCATGCGACCATGTGTTCCTTGGCTCGAGTAGATAACATCATATCCGGTATACAGAGATGCCAGCGCCAACAGTAATTGAACTCCTCCGAAACGGCTCGACCGATTTTCTTGAAATTTTGTGTGCATATCGGCCAGGGTCTCTTATAATCGGAAAACATCTATTTTTCATCCCCCTAAATGTTAAGGGTGGTCCACCCCAGACATTTTTTTCTTTCCTACAAATAATTTAGATGGCAAAACAACGTTTGCCGGGTCAGCTAGTTGTGTATATAATTTTTTTAGGTTTCCGTGCCCAAAGGGTAAAACGGGACCCTATTACTAAGACTCCGCTGTCTGTCCGTCTGTCTCTCTGTGATAGTCTGACAGTTCAAATTTTCACACATGATTTAGTTCTGTTGTTTGTAACAACAAATACTAAAAACAGAATAAAAAAATATTTAAGGGAGGCTTCCATACAACGGACATAATGTATTTTTTTGCCGTTATTTATTATATATATATATATATATATATATATATATATATATATATATATATATTACGATATTTTATAGATAATGGTACGGAACCCTTCGTGCTCGAGTCCGATTCGCACTTTTCGGTAAATAACGAAATTTTAACTTTATTAATCGAAATAAACTTAAACTGTAACAATGTCAGAGTAGATCAATAACCTCGGTTTTTCTACGTTTTTTATCAAATAAGATTGTATGGTGCATTGTTCTATTTATCTTTTTAGAGTCCGTCCCTTCACCACGGATGCTGTAAATTTTCAAAAACGTCGGAAACTCAATATAAAGAAAAAGCCCTAATCTAGTATCATTTAATACCCCGTATTCGCGTAAATACATGAATTTATCAAAACTCATTATTAAGTTCATAAAAGTTCTCGCATTTTTAACACGTATATGAAATTATTAAATCTTTAGGAGGTAGTATAGGAGCTTCTTTATTGTTTTTGAAAAACGAAAGCTTAAAAGTTTTGGGAGATTGTCAAGGATAGCAATACGCCCGTAATATTTTTGAAAATTACGCGTAAACTTGTATACGGGGCAGACATAATTTGTTACTGTATTTAAAATAAATATTTTATAGCCTTTACTTCCATAACACCTTGTTTACGCAGTGACCCAGAAATAAAACGTATCAGGCATTCGCCATAAATGTTTAATGATTTTCATGGTAATTTTCCAATGTTATTGCTACTTTTAAGTAGGTATATATTTCACTTGACGCCATTTATAATTTTTAATGTAGCATTATAGATTAAAAGCTTACATTACTTACATTATTCTATTGCTGCAAATTTTCATAGGCTGCGGAGATTATTTTTGCGTCCTTTTTCCATAAAAAAAGATTATAATCGCTCGCAGAAAGAAGTTTTTTCTTTTCATGAAAGATAGTTATTCTTTCATTTTATCGATTTTGTAAAAAAGTTTGAAAACTAAAATTGCTTTTTATAAATTACTGGCTTTTCGC